ATAACTTGCCCAAAGAGAGAATGCAAAGCTCTCTCTGATTTTTAGGGTTAATTCTAAAGGAGAATATAAAATGCTTCGTGGTGAAACAGTATGCAGTAAAATAGGTCTCTGGGAAGTTTATAAGACATGTTGTCCAAGCATAAGGAAGCAATTATCATCTAGGGGAACATAGAGAAGTTGCATAATGAGGATGAATTGATAGTGGCTTGGTATACTGCGCAGTGGAAACATAAAATGAGGAGCTATGCCTTCAGTATAGACATTTGTAAGGGAGGGAGGCCTTGGATGATCTATGACTCGTAAAGCATGGTGGAAAATAACTTTTGGTGGGTAAAAGAAAATAATATGGTAGGGTGAATGAGTTGGAAACTTTGACAGTGGCTCAAAGTGTACTTCCCTCGTACTAAGTTTTCCTTATCAAGACTGACTGGAGAGAGTGTGTGTGTGTGTGTGTGTGTGTGTGTGTGTGTGTGTGTGTGTGTGTGTGTGTGTGTGTGTGTGTGTGTGTGTGTGTGTGTGTGTGTGTGTGTGTGTGTGTGTGTGTGTGTGTGTGTGTGTGTGTGTGTGTGTGTGTGTGTGTGTGTGTGTGTGTGTTACACAAAACAGCCTCATATATTATTAACTCCTGCAGATAGGGTGCAGCGAGTGGGGAAAGCAGCGAGCCAGTTCCTCTAGCAAAACCAGCGGAGTCACTTGAGCCGTCAAGGAGGACAACACTTCTTTGTGGCAAGTGGCTCATGCTGGGAAAATTAAAGTACATTTTGAAATAACTAGTAAGAAGAGGAATTGTTAGAGTAAACTATAGGGAAAAAAGGGGGAGGGAGGGAGAGATATCGGCCACTTCTGCCAGAGGACTGAGTCACAGCGGTGAGAGGAGAGGGAAGGGTGCTCTGCCAATCTTCTCTCTTGTAAAAAGTCACGGACAACTTGGCTGCGCAGCTTCTTTTAAAGTCCAGGATGGTACCGCACCCCTAGCCGCACACCCCCCTCCCTCCACTCCCCCTCACCTTTCAACCCCCCCCCCCCCCCCCCGCACCCTCCCATTCCTCAGCCCTCCCGTCGGTCTTCAGAGCCTGGGACTCTCCACTTTATACCAGGCCCGATGCCGGCAAGCCCCCCTTACGTGTTCCCAGCCCTGGTGGTTGTGGGCCATGTTGTTACCTTAATCCTTGCCTGGCAGTGGAGAGTACGGAAGAAGCAAGGTAAGAAAACTCATCGCCGCGAGGCTCACTTTAAGAGAAACAACTGTGCCTTTCAGAGAGCAGATCAAAGGGTTTTTTCTGTGCAAATAGCTTCTGTTGTCGTCCGTCGACCCTGCTCCTCTCTGCTGTGTTTTTGTGGCGCACACTCCTTCTCCTCTCTTCCTCACACCCCCCTCTTTCTGGGACTGGGTTTCCTGTGGTATGGATGTGTTACAGTTAACCCTTTAAATGCTGGCTGTAATGTGATGACGTCGGAGTATTCCGGGGGTTTCGGTTTAGTCAGAGCTCTGATGTGCACATCTCAGCATCAGCTTTCTCCTATGCTGGGGTTTTTCCTTGAATAGTGTTTTTTTAAATTGCTTCATCCAAGTGCTGTCTAAATAGAAACGCGGCTTCAGTTGTGTGGTTCCCTTAAGGTGACTTGATGTGAGATTAAGCCCTTAACTAGTTGGTGTTTACTCATGTATCAATAATCCAGTTCTACTGGTTTCTTGGAATGGTTTTAAAGCATTTGCATATCCTCTTCACGTCCAAAAAATGCTGACATGGAAAAACAATTCATCTCTGTTTGACCCACGGAAAAGCCTCAAGGTTACCTGCAGGCACCAGTGGCTAACATGTCACCAGACACACCTCACAAAGGCCCTTTTGTTACTGTTGACACAGCCTTGCACATTGGCAGCTGTCAAACACACCTGCAGGTGACACACCCAGAGTTAAATTAGAGGATGTCTCAGTCTGCAGCTCTAGGTAAGGTATTTTCCTTCCTGAAAGCATTGTGAAAAACCAGTTTGGTCAACAGACACTTGAAAACAATTCATAAAATGTACTTAGGACAATGAGGCAGCTTAAAACATTAAAGTAGCCTCAGATCACAAAACCTCTACCTGCTTTACACTTCAAGTGTTTGTAGTGTCACACATACTCAAAGGGTTTTGGTTGTTTTGCTAAACTGAAGGCAGGCACTGTCTTTTCCCTTATCGCTCCCAGTGGTCTGGGTCTGGTAATAAACTGCACAAGGAGGACACACCTCGAGTAGATAAGAGAGGTTTTCAGAACACTGAGTTTATTATGACAGCATGATCATTTTTTATAGCAGTGTCAAGTCATCAGCGAGAAAACAGACCCACAAACTTTCTCCCAAAAGGCTTCGTATGCCTTCAAAAGTAATGGAACAAAAGCAAGAAGCATTTCAAACAGATTTCTCTTGATCAAATAAACGTTGCCTGGAAGAGTGGTTTGACTGGTAAATTGCGGGCAAACATTGCATTGCAAAACTAGGCTGCACGCTATCTCTACCTTCCGTCAATATCCAGCCGATTTGCATTTGAAGAGATCTACTTTCATCTGTGTATCTGCCGCAGTGCAGACAATAGGAGCACACTCCTCATATTCCCTGTGCCCAGAACTTTAATGATGTATTTTCAACAGAGAAGGGAGATGTGGCTATTGATTTTTTTGTCTTTCTGCTTGTACTGGACCCTGAATGTAAACAATGACCACACTTCCAAACATCTGCAGTGTCACGTGTCGGATATTAGGACACAGCTTGTTTGACTTACAGCTATAACCCACACGGCAAGGTGCCTTTGACACAGTGAAAGTAGGTAAAAGGGATTTCAACCCGAAGCCAGGTTTAAAAAAAGCTCACACAGTGCCACACATGGCGTCCGGCTAATGGTAGTAAACTCGACACCGGGGACGCAGCACTGTGTATCCTGGTTACAGTCATAACAAACTGCCAGAGGTCTAAGGTTTCCCTTCACGAGGCCTCACGCTGATCTTTAGGATCTCTAAAGGATCTCTCTTTAGTTAATTACAGTGATTAACACTAAGTGATTATCTATAAATCAACTGTTCTTAGTTCTGCATGAGGCTTCTTTTGATTTTGATCTCCTCCTCAACACTATACGATCTTGAGATTTCCTTTAATGATTTACTGCAAGGCTTTCTGAAGATCCAAAAGCTCTGTTTACTGCACAACATTGAATATGTTTAATCCATTGAGGAAGCCACACCCAAATCTGCTCCCATGTTCATGGAGGAGCCACCAGACTGGCGTTGGTTTCTGCTAAACCACATGCTGCATATAGTAGGGCTGAGTTTAGACCTTGACTGGCCGTTAGCAGCTGTGACTCACTTCCCTGTCTACTTTCCCTGTGGCATTAATGACCGTCTTTAGAAGGGGGGATGGCCTGCTGTGTTTTAACTGAAAAAAAACATGCAGTTATTGAGCTGTTGAAAGAAAGTACGCCCACCGTGCCCCTACATGCCCTTCACGATAGATAAAGTAACATACAACACATTATGGTAAACCTAGCTTGTAGTAAGGCTCGTCCCATTGTACTCTGTGAGCCCATGCTGAGGCTGGAGCTTGGCTCTGATCTGTGTTTATGTTCAAGGGAGGAGGACCAGTAACGGTGTCAAATGGCACCAACTCCTGCAAACATTCAAGCAAATGCATCCTGCATCAATCTTAAGTATTCATTATTTTAAGATTAAAGACTTAACTGTGGAACATTTTTTGTGTCTTTAAAGAATTCTAATATATGCTTAAGTCATATAACTTGTGTCTCTGCTCTGCCACATTATGCTGTTGCAGTGTTTTGATCCTGAATCAAGCAGACATGTTAGTTATCATTCCTACTTTGAATATCGTGAGAGATACAAACCGGTTTTATAAAACTGACATCCACATGAACATTCAAAACTACATAAAGGCTATAGCTAATAAAACAGAAATAAATGTGGTTTATTCCCATCTACCAAACTTTAAATGTTTTGTGCCAATATAGTTAAAGGGCCCTATTAGGAATTTAAACATTTACATTATACATATTTGTAATTTGTGTGCCTTCTGTGACATGTTTACATGATTTAATGTTCAGAAAGTTCTTTATTTGATCTGTGATGAGCCCAATGCTCTGATTGGTTAGATTGTCTGATTTTTTTTAAAGTGCAATAAATTGATGTTTTCAAAGTCAATGAATAATCGTATTTAATAATCGTGATATCAATATTGACCAAAAATAATCGTGATTATGATTTTTGCCATAATCGAGCAGCCCTAGCCCGATTGTTACATCTCTCTGGAGGGAACCTTTCAGATTTGAGCCTTTGCAGACCATTTACATGCACAAAAAAACAATAGAACACACTACAGGAAAGGGAGGACCCTAAAAGCATAAAATGGACCCTTTAAAGGCAAAAAATGAAGTCGGCTAAAGAAAATCATATAGGCACACGGCACACTATGTGTAACAACCAGGATCATTTCTAAATAATAATTACATATTTTTTTAAATAAAGAGCTACGTTTCTGTGCGTTTGTAACTAACAGTTCAGACAATTTACATATTCTCAATATTGTTTAAACTTCTCTGACGGGACATTTACAGACGACTGTTTGTACAAGTTCTGAAGTTTGGTTGTTGAAAAGCTCTAGATGTGTTATTGTATTAACTACATTCCAATAGCCTGATTGTACTTAATATGAAATATTTACTTTCACAATGTTTGCTCCCTTAACTTGAAAATAGGCCAATGTGAACTATTTCCACATGTTGCGCTGAGAAAAAAAAAGAAACCACGACTCCTACATGTTGAGTTATTTATTACCCTGCAGCTGTTCTGCATGCTGGGAAAGTGATCATTTATTACCCCGTGCTAACCTGCACTCTGCCCTGTGGACAGCCTCAGAGGGACAATAGAAAGGAGCGTCACTCGCTGTTTGTAATAATCAAATAAAATGCGTCTTCCCAGAAGTGATCCTCGATTCTGTTTCGCATGAGGGGACTTGGAGGGGTTATGTAACGTGGGAAGAGGCGCAGATGCTAAAATAGGGATATCGTGTGGTCCTCGGCAGCACACATACAGCACTGTTTATTTCGGGGAAGTCCCTCTCAGGCGCGTTTCAATGGCACACATCTTTATAACACTCTTTACGCACGAAGGCGAGCAGGATGGAGCAGAACAGAACTCCGCTCACTAAACAGAAGAAAAGTGGGCCGGGCTTGTGACAAAGTGTCTGCAATCTGACACGACCCTGTGTTTGTGTGTCCTCCGTGTGGCTCGGGTAGGGGAGAGGGGAAAGTTTTGAGGGCTGGTAACGATCAAGAGAAAAACGCAAAGGAGGGGTTGTTTTCTGGAGAGTCCTGAGCTGTTGCTTTACGCGCGGCACAAACACACGCCGGGATGGCGGGAGTGGAGGATACGATGCGCGCTACGGTGCCGTCCTGGTGCGGAGGCTTGGAGCTGGAAATGATATACCGACGAACTAATTACATCCACGAGATGAGCTGCGGGGAAGTGGGGCCTCTTCTGTACAGCAGGATGTGCTGCGCAGGTAGGTCTGAGCCGCCGTCTCCATCTCTCCGCGCCTGTAAAAGGAGGACGATGTGGTGGGGAGGGGCTGCTGGGTTACTGTAGTGATGATGTTAACCATTAACATGCCTCCGCCCACTGTACAGAAAGCCCGGAGGGTCAAAAAAGCTAGGAGCGTTGTTGTTGTTCTATTTATTAGTAACTTTTATTTTACTTTTGAAGGAAGTTGACACAAAAAACATTTTGTTTATGTAAGTGATGGCAACATCTTGTTTACCTCTCCTCTCGTAGAGAACACTGAACTGTTCTAAAGGGCTGAAACTAATATTGAACTACAGAAAACTCAGCTGCAGCTAATTTCATAATCATTCCATTTGTTAAAGTATTTCCACATGCAAAAATGCTCCCCAGGAAAAGCTTCTTAAATGAACCTCTTTAGGCCTCGGGTCTGTTAGATCAAACAAGTTATTTAAATATGTAAGCCTTGGCTCTTGGAATGTTTTCTGATAACTAATTAAACCAAATTATTAATAGATTTAACAAGAAATAATTACCATATTAATCAAAAATGATAAGAAGATTGTTATGTGCAGCTTTTGGCTAACAAAGCATTTTGATGGTGTTTAATGGTCTCTTTCTTACAACGTCAAACGGAGGTGTGCATAAAGAGGAAATATGTGATGAGCTCTGATGTTAATACACTAACAGACAACAACTGCGTAAACATTCAGTCTGGAAGCAATTACAACATGTTTGTTCTACTCAGCCACTGATTATATGAATGTCTATATTTCCATGGACTTTTAGTTTAGGACGGAGAAAAAAAGGGTTTATCAACGCAAGAGTCCTCTGGAGGTTTGTGGCCAAAACCACTGCTCTGTAAACATCACGCTGACCAACTCACAGCTTCTGTGTGTTTCGGCTGTGTTGTCATGGCAACCACTCACCCACAAGTCACTCTCCCCACATGTGTAAGTGACTGTCCATGAGTCAACACTGCTGGGCTCCACTGGACTTGTACTTTCTTAGTCTGTCTGTCTGCTTCTAGTTACACTTATATTATATATATATTATATATAATATTATAATAAGATGATCATTGATTACATATATGCATACTTTTCTTATGTTTTGTAGTGCAGCCTTTCCAACAGAAGAGGGAGACAAACTGTGTTGAGCAACAACCTCATCATCTTTTTAATTGTCACATGTGAAGATCATAAATCCAGGAATGATCTAGTCTCCATATTTTCATAACCACAAGAGTGTAAACACCATGTGTGGCTAATTACAAGTGCCTTAAAATGTTACTCCTATTGCAAAAGTGACTTTCAGTCATCAGCCCTCTTTAATTATGGAGAGAACACACAATGTGGGCAACATTGAGGACACAAAAATGCCTCAGTGTTGTTGCTTTTTGAATTCATGAGTTTATTATCCATCTGCATTTTGTAAAAAGATACATTTTTCTCCTTTAAACACCTGAGTTTATTTCAATAACAGACCGGGCTTAGTCTCATCTGTGTAGCACATGCTTTTATACCGTCTTCACTGCCAGGTTGGATCTGCCTGGATAATTCCCTGGGGCTTTCATTCCTCACCTTAGCACAGTTCTTCCCTGATCTGTCCAACTCTCATACCATCATCCCTGCACCATAACGCCATCACGACCTGCTATCCAGATGATCCTCGCTGTTAGTTAACATTCCTGTCCTCGCTGGGACTGCCACCGCATGCTGTCACTTGCACAGTTTAGCAGGCAGGCAGGTTTGTTTGATTGGGGTGGTGTTATCTCACAGAGGCGGCTCCCCCTGTCTGCGAGGAGGGTGGGCACGCCCTCAGGAATGCACAGACCTGTGTGCTTCTCACGCCAGAACTGTCATCGTAAAACTCCTATCAGCTCGCACTGCTCGGTTTATCACTGCATGTGATCAGAAACAGGGAAACAATCGACACGGTAAAGCACTGTGTTGATAGGATATTTGAAAGTGACCTAACTGCATCACATTAAAGGCACTTGATACTTATTCAACATTGCACAAAATTGGGTTTCAAGTCAAAAAATGAAAACTCATCAATCAGCTGACCTCAGCACAATTTAGTATTTGGCAGCCAATGATTTGTACAGCAATGCAAGGAAACAATATTGTAAACAAATACAGGCTTTCATAGACACCTTACATCCTACATATAGTTTTTCAGCACCTACTGTATGCCTAGAGTCAAATGCAGGTCTACTCCTCAAGCCCCGACAAGCCACCTCCCTGTGTAGGCATTCAAAAAATCCCTCTCTGAACTCTCTTATGTCAGTATCTGCACAGAAGATAGATGCTCCCAAGGGTGAAAGGTGTTACAGGTATTCATGGGACATTTATGTGCTAGGGTGGAGGTGAGAGCAGCGGAATGCTTAACTTGCAAAAACAGCAGTGCTGTGTGCAAACCACACTATGCATGCACAATATTACATTACATTGCATTTAGCTGACGCTTTTATCCAAAGCGACTTACAATAAGTGCATTCGACCAACAAAATACAACTTGAAGAAAACAGAATCATATAAGTACATCAGGCTTCATAGAGCAAAAACATTTCAAGTGCTACTCAACTGGCTTTAGAAAAGCCAGTCCTTTATTAGTATATAAGTGCTTCGTTAATAGTTCTATCGCTCGAAGTGGAGTCGAAAGAGATGAGTTTTCAGTCTGCGCCGGAAGATGTGTAAGCTATCTGCTGTCCTGATGTCAATGGGGAGTTCATTCCACCATCTTGGAGCCAGGACAGCAAACCCACGTGTTATGGATTATTTACAGTTGATCCCAATAACAGAAAAAGATAGCTAATACCGATGATTGATGAACCAATCATTTCACATTTTTGTATTTTTAAAATAAGTTAATAACCTGTACTTTATACGCACTTTAGGGGTCTAATCACTTCTGATAACCACTATCTACTTCTTCTCTGTATCTATTGGCATTCGGAAACCCAATTTAAAGGCACATGCCGCCACATACTCATTTTGAAAATGTTTTAGTTACTAGCTCAAAAGAAGCTAAGATTAAGATAACCAATAAATGTAGGATTTTGTATTTTGAAAAGAATATCATATTCTCTCGTTTTTGCACTCCAAACTTTAGAAATACTAAGATGTAATTAGCAGACATGGATGATTAAGTATTCCAAAGCTCTGACCTAGCCAAACCAAACTCACTGACATTAATATTGTTGTTATATTTATACTGTATTCTAAAACTGGAAACACAAATACAACCAGTTCTTAAATATCCTATAAGACTGATTACCAAAAAGGTTTTTGTTGTTGTTGTTGTGAAACAAAGGTCCACACTGGAGACGACTTGTTCTCTGTTTTTGTAATTCAGCACTTTGTTATTTAAAGGCAAATACCACATACTGTACTCTGTGAAGTGTTTATATGCCCCCTCTGTTAAGTCAATGAAAGTGTTTGGCCTTCATATCTTCGGACGATCATTTATGATCTATAATTCAGTTTCTGGAATAATACATGATAATACCATTTCTCATTCTCAGCGGTGAGTTATCGTGACAGTGTATATCGTGCATTCCTAGTTCGGAGTGTTCATTGGATATCATGTGTACAGCTGAACAGACGGACTGAAGTTATATTTACATGAAATAGAACAATTCTCCTTTTCTTGCACCCCTCATGCACATTGACTCACTCTGTCCAGTCCACTCCAGAGCCACAATCGCTGCTTTGTGTCTGGGATCATTCTGTGCAGCAGTGTGGTTTCTCTTTTTCAACGTTTTTCACTAACTAGCTCAACAGAAGCTTTTATTCAGGATTGACCGAATATAAATCCAAGTCCAAGCCAAACACTTCAAGTAAAACATTGCAGGTTGTTCTCATTAGCGATTTTTAAGTGCTTCTATTCTTCCTGCCACTCGATTCTCTGCCATAGACAACCCCCCCATTCCAAAACAAACCCTGGCTGTCTCTCTTATGTACGGAAACAAATCCTCCATGCCAGTTCTTCCTGTAATTGTGTCCTGATGGAGGCAGAGGGCTCATGCTCGAGGGTTTCATGTGATTGTACCATGTCGAGAAATGGCCGCGGACGTTGTTTCCACTGCCTGGTCTCCTCTGTGTTCAGGAACAGGACTCTCTTTGATGATCTGTAGTGTTCGGTGCAGCCTTCAGCTTCAGACACAACACTGGTGACTGCTAGCCTGCCCGTGTGGAGTTCAGTTGGAGTTAAAAGCTTTCTGTAAACGTTGGTCTATAAGAGGCAATGTCCCCTTATTCAGAAAGTCCTTTTAAGAACATAAGTTTGGGCTGCTGCATTAGTCAGTGGTTAGAGTGGCTGGCCCATGTACTGGGGCTCAGTACCCAGACCCAGACTCAAATCCGGCTATAGCGGTCGCTTTACGCCTTTCGTCCCCTCTATCTCCCCCTTTCAAAACTGTCCCTCTAATAAAGGCTAATCTGGAACCTGGAGTTTAAAAAATATATATATATACGTTTATTGCAAAGTTATTTAAAACACACTATGTGTTGGAAAAGCTCAGTTTTGGAACCTAAGGTCCTAAGATGCCCCGAGTTCAGGCTCCTGTTTTGGACCTCTGACCTCCCTCTGAAGATACTCTGTCATTACTCTTGGCATTTTCATTAGCAGTTGTTCTAATGCTGTTGTTAAAGTTGACTGCGGTATATACCGTACCGAAGGTTTTACATTTGAAGTAAACAACCATTAGCTACATTTTGCCATCATTAGAAAACAATTATAATGCATTTAATGACAGTATTTAGGTCAACTGTAGAACATCATTACACTCACAAAAAAACGAGTATTTTTGTCAGTTGTGCAAGACATATGCAACGTTAAAAAAAACCCTCTCCTGTCTCTAAGTTGCTCAACATATCCTAAGTGAAATATCAATGCAACTGTAAAAGACATATGGTGGTTGAGGTCTCCATATCTGTGCATTTGTATGTCATCGGTGTTGGTGTGGTGCTCAGTGAGGATCTTTCATGAAGTGTGGTTTGATGGGTGGGGTCGGGGTGTACATAACAGGGCTGGGCCTGGGGGGAGAATCTTCCCTCTCTCTCCACAGATCACTGTAAATGACAGCTTCTGACAACATAGCCCGCAGGCAGGCATTTTGCGAGGGCTGGAGAAAAAAAAGAAATGGGAGCATAGAATGTCAGAGAAGCAAAGGGAGGAAAAAAGGGAGTAAGACTCAGGAACTGAATCAGTGAACACTCCCACTTAACTACAGGACTGTGGAGAGGGTTTCAGGCAATACGAAGAAGTGGAAGTAGACAACAACGCCTAAACCTGCAGAGGCTTCTGATTTGTTTGTGATTACTGCGATAAGGCCAGCACAGAGATGGAGCGCAAATTCCAAAACTACTCCTCCGACAGTGTGGGGAGTGACGGGGTGTTCATAGAGGAGTCCCACTACCAGGGGATGCTCAGGAACATGGATCACAGGAAAGGTACAGTCTTTCATCTTTACGTTGTTGGAGTTTCACTGGCATGGAAGTCTTCTGTATTTCCCTTCAAATCGAAACATAGAAAAAGAGCAATTGAACGTTTTTAGATATTATAAAGAAATGTTATAGTTTAATGTTTAAATGATAGAATCGACTTTTGTTTGCGGTGGTCGTCTGGCTCTCTTTTATCAAACAGGCCACACCCCTTTTATGCGTCATGGCTTTTTACTCTTTTTATTGGTCAACTGTGCTGACACCCAAACCCATTTTATGATGAAAGATCAACGATCATCTGACGAATGAACCGAAACATGTATTAACTTTATCTTTCTTTTGTTCACCCTATCAAACTCAGCTGCGGTCAGATGTGTTAACCAGAAGAGGCTTGAAAACTCAATGATGAAGAGATAAACATGTTGTCTCCTTCAGTGTGACACTTGCAGTTATGTCACAGCCATAACGGGATGAGCGAACAATAATGTTCTTTGGGGAGAGCAGATATCTCTCACCTCATCTCAAAAGATTCTTTCAGGGGATGAAAGGAAACACCAATAGCTCTGTCTGCTGCTCAAGGCTACATGTCAACCAAACACATTCTTTTTCAGAGGGATCAGGGAATCGTGCTTTTCTGTCTCAATCTACTTCTTTTAGCTCGTATATTCCTATATTGTATTTAACTGCATGAAGAAACAAGAGAGTTTTTCTGCAGATTCATCCTAGATACAAAGCCATGCATTCAGTGGGAAATGAACCGGTATCATTTCTCTGCTTTTGAGGTTCAGTTCATTTCTCTGTTTTTACTCCTAACTGGTCACAAGCGTGTTTGTGAGTCATGGGCACAATGCCACCCTGATGCGCGTTGGCACCAGGAGATGTCGTGTTCTTTGGGTTCTCTGTTCCCTTTTTGTCCGAACACTGCATCTGTTGCACAACATAAACATTACCTGCTGGTATGTTTGTGATTGACATGTTACATGGTGGAACATGTTTCTGTAGAGGTGTTTAACTGTTGACCATTTACGACACGTTACGACTGTTTTTAAAGCACATAAGAGGGAGTGCAGTCCCTTTCTGTGTCACCTGAAGCGTCTTTTAAAGTTTCTGTTGGCTTCCCTTCATTGTTCTGGTTTCTTTCATTTATAGGACTTTCTCAAACTTTGATTAAATAAGGAAATACAAGTTTTTTCACTGAAGTTGAACTTTAACACTGTTTTTGGATGTACAGTACTAATAATGTTTACTGTCTAAAGCAGGGGTCATTAACTCATGGTTCTTGACCCCACTGAGGGGGTGACTTGGTAATCTTAGTGGTTGTGAGTCAGCTTCCAGCTGGAAGCTTAGACATTGATAAACCGGTATGTTTTGGAAAATAATCACTGTGTATGTAATGTATATATGATTTGTCGTAAAGAGAACTAATGCATGGACACATTTCATTAAACTGAGTTTCTGTTTGATCCCCACAGATGAACGGGACAGAGTTCAGAAAAAGACTTTCACAAAATGGGTCAACAAGCACCTGATGAAGGTAAGGTTCACTACATACATACTTGTGCATTATATTTGTTGTAAAATGATGTAGATTACAAAAGTAGCTTTCATTTGGAGCTCAGAAAACAAGTTGTCCTTAAATGACCCTAAATGTTGTTTTGTTTAAGTCAAACTGCAGTGGTTACTTTAATGTCCCATCTGGTTACAATATGCCTAATTGCTGAGTAACCTTGAAGCAACAACGGATAAACTGGAGATGGAACGAAAAGCTAAATCAGATTTCTGTTCCCTATGCCTTTATTCCAAAAAGCTAAACTCTTTTGAAAGGTGAACAACATCGTAAAAAAACGCTCCTCCACACATGCTATTTGTGTTAACTGTGAGGGGGTGAGTCACGACACCTGGCCTCGCTTTAGAAAAACAGAGGCATTGTGGGCCGGCCTGCTCAGGTTTCACATCTGGGCTCCAGACTGTCAGGGGCTCCTCAGGGCTCCTCAGGGCTCCTAAGGCTCCTCAGGGCTCCTCGGGGCTCCTCTGGGCTCCTCGGGGCTCCTCGGTGCTCCTCAGGGCTCCTCGGTGCTCCTCTGGGCTCCTCGGGGCTCCTCAGGGCTCCTCAGGGCTGGGGGACGGGAGGCTCCACGTCTGAACTGCTCTGAGTTCAGGCCAATGCTAAACATGTGATACTGTCAGGAAACACTTGTAAAGCATTCTGCCCCACGACCCTTAGAAATGAAGCACTTCCTACTTGTATGCAAGCCGATGATTGTTGTTATCATGTTAAATTCTTGTATGTCTGTACTGTTTGTTAAACAAAAAGAGCAATTTGAGGACTAGCTTCTTGAGCTCTGGGAATCAAAGAATCCTCCAAATAATCAAGAATTAATTAACATAAAATAAAGTAAATCTTTTTTTTTCTTTTTCTTTGCAGTTAAGCAAAACTAATCTTAACAATTTTCAAGTTCAATTTTTTGACCAATAAATATTCACTTTTATTTATTACAACGAAAACAGACCAATCTTACAGTTGGAAAACAGGAAATAAAATGTGGCTTGAAAATGACTACTTAATACTGAAAAAAAAACAGTGGCCGATAAATAATCTGGCAACTAATAATCCACCTGTCGTTGCAGCTGTTGGTTTTTAGTAACGTTTTTTGAAGAGTTAAATAATAATAATAACAATAGGACGAGGAGCCATGGGGGGGACAAAAAAGGAAAACAAATAAGAAGATAAAAAAGAACAGGCTGGTCACAGAGATATGGAGAGTTCACTGAGACTGAAAGCCTTGACAAACAGATGTGTTTTCAGTATATAAGAGATTCATTCTCACAATATGGTGTCAATGAAAATGTCATTGTCTCAAACATTTCTATTTTTGGAAAACACTTTGACACTAACAAGAGGACTAAAAGGGATCTTTCTATGTGACACTTTACTTAAAATCCCACCGCAAATAGCTCCTGTTATTCTATGTTATCACAGCAGAACGAGAAGGAAATAATGTTCAGTTTCATTTATATAAAAGGGATCTCAGGTTTCAAGCAATTATAGACACTAGTCATATATATTACATAGAATACAAGTTGTTTGATTCCTGTTGCCAAAGTTTCCAGGGTATACTGTTAAAGTAAAGATACCGCTCAGCTGTACCTGAAGTGTCCAGTTCTGACCGCTGCTCTGCAGACACTCTCCGGTTGATGAATCCCTGTTTTGACAGGGGAATCGGAGTGTGTAAAACTGTGAGGAATGTCCTCCGTGTGTGACGAGGCCTCTGTCCCAGACGGCTCACTGGCTTTTGTCGACACTCGTTGTTTCTTTGTCTAGAAATCCCCCAGATTTGGCTCTCATAGAACTTGAGCGGGTGTTCGATGTGGCTGCCCTCGAGGCATTTTGGACTTGTGGTCACAACAGAATCATGGGATTAATGTTTGAGGGCCAGGAACACTCCACTATTATACTTAGCTGTCTCAAAAGTGCCATCTACTGTAGCATGTAGCATTTACGTCTCTAGATTACGCAGAATGGAAACCAGATGTCCTTCTGTGTTTATTCAAGTTGTATTAATACCAATGCAATCCAAACAAGATCAGAAGCAAAGGAAATGAATACTTGACAACAGTTATAAATCGTTTGTTGGTGTACCAGTCAAACCAAATGATTTAAAATGAGGAAATGACCAACAGTCTTTGTCTTTAATATCAACCAGCGTCTGCATGTTTGTCTCTTGTCCCCCTCACTCGTCCGAGCTGGTTCATATCTTCTCTCATCAAACTGTTTCTTCTTTCCATCCTTCATCCTGTACTTCATCTTTTCCTTCAGCACTGGAAGGCAGAGGTAGGTGCTGTCAGTGAGCCGAGTGCTGAGTGGATATACATTCATTTCTGCCTGCATGCCTGTGGAAACACTTAACCCTCTCATCGAGATTTACTTAACTTGTTTGGTAGAGAAAATGAAGGTAAAGCACATTCTGACCCAAAAACAATTGAAAAAGTATACGTTGTTGCAGACCAATACTATTTTTCAATGTTTAACTTTCATACTAACAATAGCATCGTTTTTCTATGCAGTGTCAGTTAAATAGATGAGTGTACTCACTTTGGTTTTCACCTCTAAGAAAGTAGCTTAGTGGTTGAACTGTTTTTTGTTTCCAAGTGATCGTAATGTTCCTTTCCATTGCTAAAGAGACCTACCTACCTCTTACAAGTAGTGGAATTAATCAATCTTAGTAGTTTTTTCTCTCCAACATAAGGAACTAGATGGCTCTCAGGCGGCAAGAAAATACATGAAAAAAACTCAACAGTAATATCGGTATTTCTAGAAATCATGACCAATTACTAAAGAAATTCCACAAACTTTGTTGTGAGCAGTTTCATTCAAGAACTATTTTCTGTTTTCAAAACTACATCCGCTAACCGCATTATCATCAACCACATCATCATCATCATCATCATCATCAACCGCCCATCTTTTCATGGACGCCAGGCCATTTACAGCAGGGGCTCCTTTCCTACTTGGCTAACATGTAACGTTAGCTTAGCTAGCACTATACAAGCACAAGCTTCTTATGAGTAGATGATGCTTCTTTCTGGGCAATGATACTGATAGTGGATTGAATTCTGTTCCTACTTGAAACTGCTCACAAAACTGTCTGTAGAATATTTGGAGAAACTAGGTCATGATTTTGTGAAAAGTACATTTCTGTTGAGTTTTCATAATGTAATTCTTGTTGCTTTGAGTTCTATTTTATTAGATAGAAAGCAGACATCTCTACGGTCGATATTTAGCACAAAAACAAATCTAGAGAGTTGTCATTGTGTGTTCAGTTGCCCTTCCCTTTTTAAGTTGCTTTAATTATTTTGACGTGACACAGTGGGATTCAGTGGAATCTGTCTGTGCCTCGAGTGAAATCCATGTCAGTGTTGAGATGGTAACCTGTTCCTGTGCTTTGCAGTGTTTGTATTGTGTGTGTTCACCGCTGATGCTCACACTCTGGGAAAACCAATGAATTAAAAAAATGGTTTATCATTGAAGAAATGTAAGCCTTGTCTCCTCTCTTGTGTCCACAGTCCCAGAGACACATCACGGACCTGTACGAGGACCTCAGAGATGGACACAACCTCATCTCCCTGCTGGAGGTGCTCTCCGGAGATACACTGGTGAGACCTTTGACCTTTAAGTATTTGGACATCTGCTTCAGCTGTCACCCTCTGTCCTGTCCAAACACGTCTAATTGTTCCTGCTCCCTGTCCCACATAATGTGTTCTCCTGTCCAGTACACTGGGTGGAACATGAACTGCTTATCTGAGTCGAACATTTCTCTGCTGGGTCTCTCGTCTCCACTCTTGCATGTGTTGACTTCAATTCTTCCAAGGTTGTAGGACATTTCAGAACATGCACTTTTTTACTTTACTTACCTAAGCACTGTTTTTTTGTGGAACACTCATTCTGGTGGCTTTACAACACTAATTTTCATTCTTTGCTTCCATCTTGTAACCTTTCCGCACTGACTTGTTTGACCCCTGGTTTTTCCTTTGATCTAACTCCTGCTGACCTTTGCCCTGACCTCTTCCCCCTGTGCTTCCTCTCTGTGCGATGCTCTTGCTGGGGTAGCCGAGGGAACGGGACGTTGTGAGGAACGTGCGGTTGGTGAGTGGCGCCTGGACTGTGGGCGTCAGGCACGGCATGTGTCACCACCACAGGTGGCTGCTGGGATGTGCATGATGATAGTCACACTCCCTGCCTCGTCTCCTTTGTGTGTCGACATCGCCCTCTTCCATTTTATCAGCGAGGCGTCCAGCCTGGAGAACAGAGGCGCAAGTGTAGCTTTAAGAGGAGTCATTTCTACCGTTATTGTTTATTAAGGGCATTTTGTGGCTGTGATTTTTCATATTAAAAGTTGAATATTGACGTCTTTAGAGTAAAAAAAAAGAAAAGAAAACACTTACATAAAGAAGTAAAGAGCGGAACCAGGACAAACAATATTCTTATAGGAGCATACTATATATCCAACATTTCAGAACTTGCCACAACACTAGGTATTTGTTATACAGTAATTGACAATATTCGCAACCATCTATTCATGATTCGTCTTCTTGATTGAACTGTCTTTCATAAATCCAAGGCTTTTCATCGTCGTATGCTTGAATACGATATAATGATTATATAATTTTGATAATAATCAAATAAACTAATGTTCTGCATTACAAATAGAACATTCATTGTCTCTGCTAGTTAGATATTTGATTACACCTTGTTGAATTGACACATTGACATTGACGGGTATAGAAAAGTATAGAATCAAGTAAACACCAGTTTAAGTTTAGGGCTTGAACATAAACACGACTTTTACGGTCAATAAGGTAACCTTGCTGTGTTAAAAGCCAACGTGTCTTCTCGTTAATCTGATACGCAAACATTTCCCAAATTGGGATCAATAAAGTACATCTTATCTTATCTTATACGTTGACTAGTTATGCGGCGAAGCTTCTTATGGACTTGAAGCTTCAAATGTGGAGCACCAATGCATGTCATGGCCATCAATGCTGGGGTCACTGTCTCATTCTGGGTAGGTTTAGAAACCGTAGATGCTTTTATGGATTGTGCTCCAGTTTTTTATTGCATTTTGGAATAGTGCAGAAAATAAGATCTTTGACAAACACACATTTATGATACTTACACGTTTTGTTCAGCAGGATTATCTCCACATAATTGCAATCCCCAGTAAAACGTTAGGCTATAGACGGACTACATGACATTCACATGATTTCACGTTACCACCGCTAAGCTAAAGGCGGCTAATGTTCGCTGACTCATTTAGCCACTTGTTAGCAACTGTCGTTCTAAAGATGCATAGAAGCTTTGGACGTTCTCCAGTTGGGTATCTGCAGAACAGATAGTGATCTGTTAAGCTTTTGTTAACCAAAGACCTTATTTCAGGTATTTAACCAAAAACCTGTAAAAAAAAGAATTGACTTCGAGATGAGGGAAACAGAAGTGGTAAAATGCTAACTTATTCCTGTGTTTAAGGAACTTCGTGCACTATAAGGTGTTTTTATTGTAATGAATCAACTATTTTTATTTTCAAAGTGTTATTGTGTAGGCCTCAGAGGAAATGAAGATTGTGACTGATGATCGGGGGAATCACTGAGATTGTGTATCATTCATCATCATGCTCTCACCTGCAGGCATCCTGGCTGCTTTGTTTAATGCACCTCAGGGTCAGATCTGGTCTGACCAGACGCTTTGATCACAATCACGCCGAATTTGAATCGCACTTCAAATTTGCTACAGTTGAATTTTGAAGTTGTGGTCATGACTGTTAAATGTTTTTGTTGTTCTACAGTAGAATAGATATTGTAGTAAGCACAAAAAGGTGTTCCTGGACACTGAAACACCTGTTCTTCAGTCATGGGGCCTTGCTGTTTATTCATCTTTAGTCATGTGCTCCCTCCTCCTCATGTTTGGTGTCCTCTCGTCTCTTGCAGCCACGGGAGAAAGGTCGTATGCGCTTCCACAAGCTGCAGAATGTACAGATCGCCCTGGACTTCCTCAAACACAGACAGGTCGGTAATAATGACATTTCCAATACAAGTTTTTTGATCAAAAGAGCATTTATATTTGACTGTTTTCCTTATGTCTTCTAAATCTTCACAGTTTAAATAAACCATAAGACTGACCATTAGGTTTAATTGGTGTCCTTTCAGGTCAAACTGGTCAACATCAGGAATGATGACATTGCAGATGGAAACCCAAAGCTGACCTTGGGGCTGATATGGACCATCATCCTTCACTTCCAGGTAATGTCTAGCACTTTTAAAGGCATGTTTAGCTATACATTGCTGTTTTTAAGGCATACACATAGCCAGTACAGAAATGAGTGTAACAAATGTAGCTATACATTGCTTCAGTTAAAGGGGCCCTGACATGCTTTTGGGGTGTTCCCTTCCCTGTAGTGTGTTATATAGCTTGTTGTGCATGTAAATGGTCTGCAAAGGCTAACATCCCGAAGTTTCCTGCACTGCCCCTTTAAGGCAGTGAAGGAAACTAGCACATCAAATATTGGACACAAACATCTGTCATTATATAAATTTCATTAACCTGCTATTTGCATGTATTTAAGTGGACTTACTCATATTTCCTAAACTACATTTGGTGTTTATGTTTTAAACTGTACAGTTTTTGCATACGAAAAATCCTTCCACCGTGCGAGTACAATGCGTTTCATACAATTTGCTTTGATTACATTATAATTAGGGTTCTTCCGCAGCACGTTCCCTCTTTTAGCTTCAATCATCTGCCCCACTTCATCCCGATGTTGACACAGCAGTGTGAGCACAGTGGACTCCAACAGCCAATCACTTCCAAATGGACTTTATTGAACATTTGGCAGCATTTTGCACCTTTATACACAAATACCACCGCTTCCCCTGTCCTTCAGAGCACGAAGACTAAACACTGAAAAAAAGCTATTCATTCGTTCTGAAAGAACAGTGCTCAGTCAGTTTTGAAGTCTTTTATGACTCTTTCCTCGGTTCTGCGGCTTACAGTCTAACAATCTAAATAAAGGGGTTTTCTTTTATCCGGATCTCAAATGTAAACAATTTAAAATTCTTAACACATTTGAGGAAAGCATTTGTCAATGAGCAGATGTGTTCCTCATGTTGAAGAGGCGTGTTTGGAAGATTTAGGGGGAAAACAGTGGGAGTGCATGGAGATTCTTTGATGCTATAATCGGTATGATGGTTTTGATGTTAGTGTGGGATTAATTTTTTCCATCCAGTGTGACTCAGTCATTCCCACGAGAAAGCTGGAAGAGGACGTGGGCGTGACACATCAAAAACTCCAAAGCTTTAGAGAAAAACAGATTTCCAGCTATTTATATGGTTTCAAAAGTTAACTATTCCACGATATCTAACTAAAAATCCCATTCAAGCAATAAAAGAAACATTTCCGTTTAAGTGTACTGAGTCACCAGTCAGCTATTCATTGTACGTTCCCATACCCATTTTGTTTTGGAACATCCTAGTTTTCACAAACAATGGTGAATTTCCTCTCTGCTCCCCAGGTGCAGGTAACAGTTTACTCACACACAGGTGACCAGTATAAATCATGGGCCTGCTGCGTGACAGAGTTGAGATTCTCTAATCACTTTTTTTACAAAATCTGCGAGGGCGGAGGTCCTGTTTCCAGTCTGAGTCACTCGGTGCCCACGTCCACGCTGAGCACCCGGGTTTCCCTTCTGAAAGGAAAAAAGCAGAAGGAAGTCTTCTTTTTTCCCTCCAGCAGCTTTTCCTGCAAAAATACATTCTTAGTTCTGACTCACCGAAAACCCCTGAAAATAGTATATTATGGTAATGAAAACCACACTTCTTAAGTAAGAAACTCTGACATTTATCACGACATTAAATGCAACCTTCACTTAATGCATAATATGCAGCTTATTTACAGCAATTTTATTATACTTTCTGGATGATTTCATGTCTTTATATGTGAATACAAATCCCAAATAAGAGATATCAAGACATCAAAGACAAACTGTTGGAATGATTGGAGACACGGGTCACTGGGTTTGTGCTCACAATTGAAATTGCAAAGTAAAAAAAACAACAAATAACTATTAAAATGTTTCCTGGAATTGTTCTTGCAACTTTTTACGACATGTGCCTAGTTTTATAGAGAACACCGCCCATCTGGAGCTACATGCAGACAGAAGCAACTCCAAGGCCTTTTCATAAGTACTGTTTGCATGTCTCATAGATATGGGCCAGGCAGCCACTACAGTGATGGATTCATGCAAAATACAAAACATTGAGTCAAACAGCTGCATTATTTGTGATGTCCCTCAGTGTCAACACAATGCTGGGATTTACCTTAAATTAGTATGATTATGTCTTTATAAACGGGGGTTATAAAGTATACATACATCTCAAAAAGAGAAGAGATAATTCATTACAGATTTAACTATTAGCTAATATTGATTCAAAATGTTTATATCATCTTTTATTCACTTAAAACTACAAGATAACTTTAAAACAAAAGTTAAATTGTTGGGAGATTTCTTTTAATAGTGTGTTCTTGTGACTCAGAGCCAAGCCTCGCAACTCTTAAAGAATAGCAATTTGCCTGTGGAGGTTCTGCTACACAGTCCAACATTCATTTTCAGCAGCCTTTTATTTAGTGAGGTTTTTTTTGTTTGGAAATGTATACATTATAACGGTGTATGATCAGTGACTCATCGACATGTTGCTGGAAAAGAACTTGTGTTTCTCTCCAAAACAGTGAGTGTTTTGTTTCTTTGGCCTCCAAGTTAAAGTGCTGCTTGGTATTTGAGGTTTGAAATGTGACTCATGTCAAATCTGGAAGAAATCAGCGGGCAAACTGGAAAATACGTTTTCCTTCCCTTCAACACACACTTCAATCATATTCAATACAGGAATATCAAAGTAAAGGAAAGTCATGTGCAAGGGAGAGAAAAGTCCTTTCACCATGCAAACGGTTTCTTAACTGAAAGGCAGTCAGGGCCACTTGGGGTCAACATATCCTATTTCCTGAATTTGGAAGTAGTTCTTCCTGCTTTGGTGTACAGGAGTTGAAGTCGTGATGTGAAAACATGGACACTTTTTAAAAGTTCACATCAATATCTATATATCAACGATTATTGTTCCGAATTGTGAAGCATTCACCAGCGCTTTCTCACTGTGGAACTACTGTCAGCAATAGTTCCGACATCACACAATGCAACACTGTTTAATCTTGCAATGTTAACGATGATGAACATATGGAGTTCTTTCCAATGCTACACCCTTCTACCTCATTTCCTGAAAATCATGCCAGTCCTTTATTGTGCTAAAAACCAAACAAACAAAGGGATCGACCCATCAATAAAATGTCCTACGGCGGATATATATGTAATATAGTCAAATATTCTGACACGATGTGTTCGTGAGTTATTTAAGATGATTAGTATGTGTTCTACTTCCATTAATATAAATGTATGAATGAAGGTATTCTGATTCTGATTACTTTACACTAATTTGGAAGATTTTTGCCTTACAATTAAAAAAAATCATCAAATTAAATCAAACATTATTTATATAGTACTTTTTATACAGAAAAGGATACAAATATAACGTTCTTAACAAACCAAAAATAAAAACAATACTACACCCCCCCTTTCCAGGTAATAAATAACACATAAGTTAAAGAAATGAAATGAAGTTTACTATCACTGCTGACTTGTTGTAACTTCTCCCCTCCAGATCTCAGACATCCAGGTGAACGGCCAGTCGGACGACATGACGGCCAAAGAGAAGCTGCTGCTCTGGTCTCAGAGGATGGTGGAGGGATACCAGGGTCTGCGCTGCGACAACTTCACCACAGGCTGGAGGGACGGCAAGCTGTTCAACGCCATCATACACAAACACAGGTGAGGCACTGATGGAGGATAGAATGGCTCTAAGATAAAGTATGCACTTGGATGTCTTAGAAAGAAAAATTACCCTAAGGGGCAATACTTAGAATTGAATATAGATCTGATGCATAAACAGCAATAATAACTTGCAAAATGGTATTACACCTACCTGTATTACGACAGTGACACAAAAGGGTCATCTAAGAAAGGGATGCCATGGAGGTTCGTTGCACGAAGCACTTTTCCATGGGAAATGATTTCTGGTTGGAGAAGCTTGCCTGGGCTTGGAATCCTTTATCACCATAGGATATGAAATGTACATACATTTTAAAGGTCTTCTCTGTGACCTTTTTTTGCATTTCAAGTTGCAGTACCTTTTATTATTTATTGCTGTTGGTATTTCATTTTACAGAGGCACACCTGACTTGTCAGGACAAATGTGGTTGGTTATTGTAAATCAAACATCGAGATAAATGCTAACTCAGACCTTAACTCTACAGCTCAGTCTTTCATTGCTTTTGCAACTGTAATTGCATATCAATTCTGTTAAATGTTTAATTGACTCTTAAAGATCCATTGCAACTTAATTAAATCTAGCCGCCAACATAAATAAACTATAATCAGCCGCCCTCCAAGCCTGCAGTATTTCACGGTTTAACACTCAAACCATATCTTTTGGTTGGAGCGCCACTCTTAGTCTTTGCACCTGCTAACACAGACAAGCCCCGCAGGATGGCTCTCCACCACACAACACAAAAAACATGTACAGCCTAAGCTGGCATCATTAAGTGTGAAAAGAGAAAGCGTTCTTTGCCATTTGTGGTTGCATTACACTCATTTGAGGAAAGGTTGCCCTGGAGGTAAGCTCACTGGAGGCTTGGCAGGTTGCAGCAAAACACAGGTGCGCTCACTGCTCTGCCTGAGAGTGTCTCTGGGTGGAGGAGGAGCAGGACGAGCAGAGACTGAGCAGCTGCAGAGAGGAACCTTAGGATGTAATCAGGAGCAAGCAGCACAAGATCCAGTCGATATTCCTCAGAAAACCTTTTTTTTTCACAATTTCCACTGCATATCCAAGGAAACTTTTGCGTTGCTACAATGTTGAAACTGAAGAGGAGGTTTTCATCGAAGAGGCGTTTGAACAGCGCCTCCAGCAGCACGGCGGGCTCCGTCAGTGACCTGGAGGATCGGGTGGTGATGCTGTGCGAAGACATACCCAACGAGAACTCTTTTGACTCGTGCCGAGGCTCCACCGGCCCCGGGGCCCGCTCCAGTCGAGGCTCCCAGAGCAAGGAGCACGACTCAGAGCCTCACATGGTGCACCTGAGCAGGGACAGACTGTCCAACAGACAGGCCTGCTTTGTGGAGCAGGAACCCCCCCGGCCACACAAAGAATACTACATCCAGAGAGTTATGCAAGTGTATGGATCATTTGGTGCTTTTTAATCAGAATGTATTTATTGGTCCCGCAACCGGGAAATGTACATGATTACAACAGTAGAAGTATAGTGCAGATAAAGGAAAGAGAATAGACGTGCACAACACAATAAGTAAAACAACAGATAAGAACACCATGGTAAAAAATAGCAGTATATATTTTTTAAGTGATCATATAACATTAATGAGGTAGCTGGTACTGTTTACGGATTGTAGATAAACTGAAAGAAAAACTAAGTTTTATATTTACTGGCATTGTTACTCAGAACTTCCTCTACGTCCTGAATGTTATCTTTGCTACAGTATCTGTAGGCATGATATGTATTTGCATCCTCTGAGCCTGTGCCTACATGTTATCAAGCAGTTACCTTCGTGGCAAAGTGCACTCAAAGGCCAGGTGTTTGTTTCCTATTGTATAAAAAGATGGAGGATTGTTAAGATTTCTGGCAGTGAGGACTCCTGTTTTTGCTTGCCCTCTCTGGAATCAGGTGCATACTACTCATGACCAAAGGGCCTCAAGCAACATCAAATATGAAATAAGCCACATCATTATTTATGTTTTACCTGGCAGCCGTCAAAATGGAATTTCTGCTGTGGGGTAGAAGATAAAAATTGCAAAAACATAGAAGTAAGGGAGGATGCCGGACTGTAATTAAGTATATCTTTCGCTGACATTTTAACTGTCCAAGAAAAAGACTTGACTGACAGTAACTGTGTAACAACCTATCTCCACTTACCCTCTTATGCTGTTTTTGCCCGCAGGCCCACTCTGATTGACATGGGTAAAGTGTACCGGCAGTCCAACCAGGAGAATCTGGAGCAGGCCTTCAGCGTGGCCGAGAGAGACCTGGGCGTCACCAGACTGCTGGACCCCGAAGGTGAGAGCAGTCACATGTTCAATACCTCCCTGAAAGCCTCTACTCAGGGAATATTAGAGCCTGTGTGAATTGCTTTTTCCAGCTTCCAGTTAAAAAGAAATAACCATTTAAAAAAAACATTGTTATTCCCTCCCTCTGCAGATGTTGATGTGCTTCACCCTGATGAGAAATCCATCATTACATATGTCTCCTCTCTGTACGATGCCATGCCCAGGGTACCAGACGTTCAGGAGGGTGTCAAAGCCAACGTGAGTCCTCCTCTTCCTCTTCCTCATCGTCAGTTCTTCTTTCCTCTAAATCACTGCAAAGATATTTCACACCAGAGAGAAGGAAACTATGAACTTATGAAAGATATATTCTTAGTAATATCAATATTTTAAGCATAGCTTAAATGCCATTGATCAAGGGTCCAAGTGTATCAAAGCAATGAGGATTGACAAGTACAGATGACCATATTTCCACACACAATGTAAGTACAGTCAGCCTTTAAGCCATGACAGTATAAAGACATTACAGCATTAGGTTTATAATCCCTTTACGAAGAAGATTTGTTGAAAGAACGTGTCACAACAACAATAGCTTCAGAAATGCTGTGTAATAAATCAAATATTTGTAAATGGTCTGTGTTGCAGGAGCTGGAGCTGCGTTGGCAGGAGTATTATGAGCTGGTCACCATGCTGCTGCAGTGGATCAGACATCACATCATGGTGTTCGAGGAGAAGAAGTTCCCCAACAGCTACGAGGAGATTGAGGTGAGGGGGTCTGGGCGTTAAGACCTAAAGAAACATTTTTGAACAGCGAAATGACACGATGACAGTGCCGATGAAGCGTTCTCATTCATCTCTTTTATTTGCAGGTTCTTTGGCGTCAGTTTCTGAAGTTTAAGGAAACAGAGCTTCCTGCGAAAGAGTCTGATAAGAACCGCTCCAAACACATCTTCAAATCTTTTGAAGTGAGTTCCATCAGCAGCTACACTCCATAGGCATGTTTAAGTATAGCCGTGTTTGCAGTATGTGCTGAACATGCTCAGACAAGCAGGTACAGGGTGAATTAGTATTCTATGTTTTATAGTGCAGCCTTGTTTTCCACTGCCATTTACAGAATAAGACCTGCACCCACCTACATGGAAAAAGACAGGGGTGTTATGGAATCTATCGATACAACCTTTTCCAAGTGCCCAAAACTCTCATAACTGATCAAAAATGTGGGCTCCATAATGCTCTACTGTACCTATTACTTTTTTATGTTAAAGAGACTTTTAGAGACATTTGAATTTGATGAGGTGTCACTTTTTGAAGCTTCGTTTTTTTTTTTTTTGTACTCCAAGGACCGTCAGAGTTATTCTGTTGATGTATCACCACAAAATTATACCATATGAGAATTCAAACAGATATTTTTCGGACATTTTGTGAACAATATGATAAAATTATGAATTGATCATTAAAAATAACAGTTAGTCAGTTTCAGCTAATCTGTGTCATACTCTTCAGGGTGCAGTTCAGGCCGGTCTTGTCAAAGTGCCTCCCGGTTACCACCCCTTCGACGTGGAGAAGGAATGGGGTCGCCTGCACGTCGCCATCCTGGAGAGAGAGCGTCTCCTCAGGAAAGAATTTGAGAGGTGAGTAACACCACGGCCCAAACCTCATCACATGCTATGTTGCCAAAACAAAACCTCACATTTAAAAACCACAAGAAATATAAAAAACTATGAGAAATGAATCACTACTCAACCGCTTACTGTGTGAGGATGACTCATTTCCTTAAGAAAAAGTCCACTTCGGCAGAAAAAGAAAAAGAAGAGATGAAACTGTGTTTGTGGGATGGAAAGTAAAAATCACCAAAAAAAAAGACCAACACATGACAACCGCCTCATTGCCACGGAAACCTCGCAATAATATGGTCATCTGATAGTCACTAATACATTTGTCTGTTTAATCACAAGATTGCCAGGGCGTAGCTTTTAGTTTGGGTTCTGTGGAGAGTTTTTAAAACCTCATCTTTACTTTAGTGGACAGACAGAGCTCTAACATGGCTTTCATGAATCAGGGATATGCGTTAAAGCATATATTGCGCCCAAAGACAGAGTAAGTGCTTTTCTTTATTTGTTACTTTGTCCATGCATTGTAATAAATCACTTCACATTAGGCTGAAATGTGTAAATAGTCTACCTTTTATTAAATGTGTTTGACCTTTGTCCTCCCTGCCCTCCCTCTGCAGGCTGGAGCAACTCCAGAGGGTCGTCAGTAAGGTCCAGATGGAGTCGGGGGTGTGTGAGGAGCAGCTGAACCAGGTGGAGACTCTGCTGCAGATGGTGAGACACAAACATCTGTGACAGACCAAATCATATACGATGAGTACAAATGGATTTGGACCACATGCAGAGCTGTAACCTGTGTCTGTGCTGCAGGACATGAGGATGATGAACTCAGGGAAACCTGCTCAGCACACCGCAGAGATGGAGGCAGATCTGGAGAAAGCAGAAGGAATGATCCGCTTCCTCTTCAATGATGTTCAGCTGCTCAAAGACGGGCGCCACCTTCAGGCTGAACAGATGTATCGCAGGTGACTAGTTTAGCTTATATCATTGCAAATGATTAACCTTTGACATGAGGACAACTAATTCATCATTTTGTTATCACTATAGTGCTTCAGTAATGGGTTCTATTAATACCTTTCTTTTAAATCTAAAAGTTTTTACGTGTCTCAAAAGAAAGTTGTTGTTGACCTTTTGATGGGACATTAAACGTCCTTAGATCAGTCCGCCTTTCGCTTAGCGGTGGTGACGTTAGACTCGTGTGACATACTGTAGGTGGAGTGTGTTGCTAAATAATCCAGATCAAATGAAAGAGTTAGTTTGGATTTTTTGTCAAGAACAAGGAAACTGTTCAAATCCGGGTTGATCTACAAAAACACTTAAGTCCTGCAGAACTCTATTCATCTATTCATCGACTAATTTACCTTTTTTTATGAATTACTTATGGTTGAATCAATAATATATCACTGTGGTGAAATGCCTAGAACCAATAGTCTAAAGCCCAACAATAAATTGTATATAAAACAGAGACATTTTTTTGTTGTAAATATTTAGCATTTTTACTTGAAGACATTTATTTCATCATCAAATGTATTTCCTGTGGACTAATTAATGAATAAATTGACATTCTGTATTTTTCCCCGGCTCCAGGGTGTATCGTCTCCACGAGAGGCTGGTGAACCTCCGCAGCGAGTACAACCTGCGCCTGAAGTCCGGCGTCACCACCTCCCAGATCCCCATGACCCAGATCCACACCTCCCAGATCCCCATGACTCAGATCCACACCTCCCAGATCCCCATGACTCAGATCCACACCGCCCAGGTCACCACCCTGCAGCAGGCCCCCATGAGGGTGAGGCCCGAGCTGGATGAAGTCACCATGCGCTACATCCAAGATCTTCTGGGCTGGGTGGAGGAGAACCAGCGGCGGGTGGATGACGGGCAGTGGGGCTCAGACCTGCCCACCGTGGAGTCCCAGCTGGGCAGCCACCGCGGCCTGCACCAGTCCGTGGAGGAGTTCCACTCCAAGATCCAGAGGGCCAAGGCCGATGAGGTACAGACTGCTGACATAAACATGAGGAGATGTTTCAGATAGAGCAGAGAGGTGTTTTATCTGGGGAGGTAAAGAAGCATGGTAATATGGTTCAAGAAATGTCAAAGAATCTCTACTCAAACCGTAGATACTTTTATAAATGAAGGAGTACATCTGACAATCACCCATGCTAGTAGCATGGGTGATTGTTATTTTCTGGACTCATATTGGCAAGTGGAACATTTTATTTGATATGAGGATTTATTGTTATTATTTTATTTTATGTTTTTCTTTTACTTAACCATCATCCATTTCTTTATTTAGTTTCTTTGTAGGTTTGTATAATATACAGTTATCGTGCTGCTATTGTGTAGAGAACTCTACAAACACAGTTCATTTTTAACGGATCAACCTAATAGAAGTATTTTTTTTTTTTATTATAATTATTGCTACTTTGACTTTGACATTATTTTTAACATTTCTTATTTCCTCCCCCTGTTCCAGAGTCAGATCTCACCTGCCAGTAAAGGTGCCTATCGCGACTATCTGGGAAAACTGGAGCTGCAGTATGGCAAGCTCCTGGTAAGTAACAAAAAATGCAATAAAAGAAATACAAAAAGATGCAGAAATCTTGGATAGACTTTTATATTTTTTGTTCAGCAGCCAGTAGAAATTGAGCTTTCCTAAAGCCATGATGTCTCCTCTGTCTTTCTGTCCCTCATATTGCCTCATTTTGTTTTGTCCTCTCTTGCAGAACGCGTCTAAGGCCCGGCTACACTCCCTGGACCAGCTGCACGCCTTCGTCATCGCTGCCACCAAAGAGCTGATGTGGCTGAATGAGAAGGAGGAGGAGGAGGTGAACTACGACTGGAGCGAACGCAACACCAACATGACGGCCAAGAAAGACAACTACTCGGTAACAGAACAGCGTGATGCTCTAATGAGGTTTACTCACAGACCTTTCTAGTGCTGTCCTTCTGAGTTTTCTTCCCTCTTTGTTCCAGGGTCTGATGAGAGACTTGGAGCTCAGGGAGAAGAAGGTGAGCGTCGTCCAGGCAACAGGAGACAAACTGCTGAGGGACGGACACCCAGCCAGGAAGACTGTAGAGGTACGATTATTATATTTATCTAGATAGCTTGACTACTAGAGCCTAAATCACCATATTCAATTGTAGTTTTATTGGTCTTTAAAGTTATATTTAATATAATAAATCCCAGATGGAGTGGGATAGACACAATATCCAACAGAGCCCCATCCCCATTTAAGTAATACTATGCTGTTTAGTCATTATTAACACATTCCATTCTATAAACTCTTTCATGAATGTGATAAAGGGAAGTGAGACTTTTAGTAAATAGTATTTTTTTTAAATGGTTTTAAATCCCAGATGTGTGGTAAGAAAGAAATGTAATAATATATGGGTCAATTATTCTACATCATATGTGGGGGAAACTTCTGAAGCAATAGGAGTCAGGACTCAGAGAGACACGAGGAGAGCTGGAGCTTTGATGGCAAACAATGACGGTTTATTTGGAGCTTCGGCCAGAGAATTCACAAGACATGTCACGGGCCACGAGTTGACCACACGGTTGAGATGCCACAATCAATTCTGAAGACCCTCCTGTAGCTCCAGGTTTTAACTAGTTCAGAGTGTAATAATCAACATTCTTCAATAGAGAGACTAAACAGCTGAGGACACTGAATCACATTTGTTGTCGCTTATGGCTCGGGGTCATCTACACCCCGAGAAGGATGTGTTCCAGGTGTCCCTCAACAATAACTATCTCTGACCGAGAGTTGCCCGGTCACAAACTGGTAACATCAACAATATGCTAGGGCAGCCCCTCCTTATGGGAGATAGCGGCTGCTCAAGGCTGGTCAGCTGCGTCAGAGGGCAAAAGGTAAACATGTAGGGCGAAATGATTCCCTGACATCATATATAAATTATTTCAATAAGCATACCATTTCTTTGCACAGCCTCTTGTATAAATATAATAAAAGAATAACAAAATATATTTAATATAATGAGTATAAGGTCTTTTGAAGAAATTATTTAATTCCATTTAGGCAGTATCAGTCAGCTAAAACAGATCCAAAATCTTCTTTTGCTAAAATTGTAGATATTTTTATTTTGAAATGTTGACATTTGGTATTGTTTGTCCTCCTCACTTTTCTCTCTACACCCCCTCCTCAGGCCTTCACTGGAGCTCTGCAGACTCAGTGGAGTTGGCTCCTGCAGCTGTGCTGCTGTGTAGAAACCCACCTGAAAGAAAATACCGCATACTACCAAGTATGTTTACTAACTTACACAGCAGGACTTCAGCATTTAAAAACTGTCTGAACAAATATGGGGTCAGGTTACCCATTAAGAGTCAAAGCTCACCTGTTCATCAGTATTTATGTTGCAAACCTTTCTGTTTTTCGTTGGGCAAGTTCTGAATGCTGCAACTTAACCTCTTCCAATTTCTTCCTTGTCCAGTTTTTCTCTGACGTGAAGGAGGCAGAGGACAAGATCAAAAAGATGCAGGACACGACGAAGAGGAAGTACACCTGCGACCGCTCCGTCACAGTCACACGGCTGGAAGATCTCCTGCAGGACGCCGCTGTGGGTTCATGATATTGTTTACATGGCAAACACATCAAGACACTGTTATTATAATGTGGAAAAGTGCAACTGGGGAACATATACAATATCTGTTGATTTAAGGGTGAAGAGGGTCCTTGATGGAGTAGAGATAGCTGTTTGTTCTTCTGTTAACGCTTTCTTGTACTCTGTGTACTTCACAGGATGACAAAGAACAACTGACTGAGTTCCAAACCCACCTGGAAGGCCTGAAGCGAAGAGCCAAGACCATCATCCAGCTGAAACCACGTAACCCTGCCACCGCCATAAAGGGCAAGCAGCCCATCCAGGCTGTATGCGACTTCAAACAAATGGAGGTAGGCATCGAATGGTGTTTGCATTCAGGAAAAAAACAAAACTCAGTTCATGTTCTTAACCTGGAAGTTGGCATGGGATTTTTCAAGCATGGGACTTTGAGATAAGTGTTTAGGACTTATTCCTGCATCACTTCTTTTTCATATAAACACACATTCTGCCAGAAGACATAGGTGTAAGGGAAACTTCTGTGTAGCAGCAATGCAGTGGGAGTCACCGACTCAGAAAAGAGACACGGGAAGAGCAGGAGCTTTGATGTCAAACACTGATGGTTTATTTGGAGCTTCGGCCGGAGAATTCACATCACAAGTCCAAGAGCCAGAGGTTCTGACTTCACGGTAGAGTTGCCACGTCAATTCTGGAGCGCCTCTCTCTCATTTAACTTATTTAACTGGTTTCGCAGAGAGTAATCAACATATTTGAGGAGATAGTCTAAACAGTTGGGAACACTGAGTTACTTGCGTCTGACACTTATGGCCTCAAAGATTTCACACCTTGGAGTCCACAAACAAAGAGAAGGAAGTGTCCCAGTGTACCCACATCAATAAACAATATGTGGTCATAGAATGGGAACAACAACATTACGGCTGAAGCAGCCTATCTCCTTAAAGGAGATAACAGACGTCAGGGTTGGTCATGCACGTCATATCTAGGAGTCTAGGACAATTATTTCCCTAACAATAGGAAGAACACTAATAACTCAAATATAATTAAATTAAAGATAACAGGACGACACAGATTCAATTGTTAAATGTTCTCGACTGCACATCAAAGAAGTTCTAACCAATTACAAGCCTCATGCCCTCCACTTATCTACCCTTTGAATTGTATTATTACCAAACTCTTAAACACTGATTTCCGATAATTCTTTTGGGACATGCACAGAAATTATGCATGCATAAAAATCAAAGAAAACACACATTTAAAAGCAAAAAGGAATTGTTAAATAAAGTTGATTTGCCAAATTCCTGATTGAATATAAATGAGTTGACTTTTAATGAAGGCTATATATCGTCAGTAAACAGCAGTACATTACAGGGATATCAGTAGCAGATGAAGTCAGTCAGACTGGTGTGTTTCTCTCTCAGATCACCGTCCACAGAGGAGACGAGTGCGCTCTGTTGAACAACTCGCAGCCTTACAAGTGGAGGGTGCTGAATGATAAAGGCAACGAGTCGTCTGTTCCCTCCATCTGCTTCCTGGTTCCTCCCACCAATAAGGACGCTGTGAACAGTGTCGCCGGGTGAGTTAAGATTCACCCGTATTGATTCCTAAAAATCTAAATTCACATGCACAGTTTGTCAGTGAGTGCTAACCTCCACCTTCCCTTCCTCAGACTGGATGGAAACCTGCAGCGGCTGCACACCATGTGGCAGAACATGTTCCTGGACATGAAGAGCATGCTGTCCTATCAGTACCTGATGAGAGACATACACATCATCAAAACCTGGAACGTCACCATGGTAACGACACAGGATATGCTATATGAGAGAAAGAATAACACGCTAAGGAACTGCATTTGGGTTGACATACAATCCCTGAAGAACAGCGACTTGATTCAATTAAACATCAATGTAAAATGCTACCAAAGTACAATGGTGCATTAGGGCCATGTAAGGTAAAGAAAATACTTTAATACTTTAAATACAATAGTAACACTGAGCTGGGAAAGGGGTAATATTTCACAAAAACAACTCAGAACTTTCAATATTAAAGTCATGAATTTACACGATATACAGTATATGCTTATGGTTCCTTGTAAAAATACTATTTTGGACTGTGGGATTCACATTCAGTAAAACTGGAAAAAGTCAAAAAGCATAGTAATTTTGTTTGTTTGTACCAGTATACCTGATCCTTTTAATTCCTATAATAATATGTGTAGCATATGGATCAGATGAAGGCTACTTTTACTGTTCCTCCTAGATTTTTACATTAAATAAGATTCATTTGTACATAATAAGTATGAAAGCTGGTAAGTACTAAGTAGACAAAAATGACTTTTAAAAAGGACAAATTGACAATATATTTGTGTTGATTGTTTGCTAGAGAAGGAGAAAATGATTTGCTCTACACATACAGAATTCCTAAAAGTACTGGAAATGATTGATTTAAATAAAAAGGCACCGAGTTTTGTGATTTATATTTTTGTTTTCACAATGTTTATAACATGCATCTTCCTTGCACCCTTGCAGTTTAAGACCCTAAGGGTGGAGGAGTACCGTCTGGCCCTGAGGAACCTGGAGCTGCACTACCAGGACTTCCTGAGAGACAGCCAGGACTCTGAGACGTTCGGGGCGGAGGACCGCATGCAGGTGGAGTCCAACTACAACAAAGCCAACCAGCACTACAACACCATGGTCAGCTCTGCAGAACAAGGTGTGTACTGTTCACTTTCCAACCTGTCCCCAAACATGATCAACATGGGTCTGATAGGGATGACAAGGCACATTCTTTATTCATTTATTTAATTTTGACATTTTCTCATTGAATAAGTTCTCATACATTTGTGATGGTCATTTGTGTGGAAGTTGACTGTTGGATTCACGTTGCAGGCTATGTGCCCCCCAGAGCAGGTAAGGTCCACAGTTACAGTCGCAGCTTTTGATTGGCTGATCAGGAATGTGTGTGAACGCTGTTGTGTTGTCATTTCTTTTTTTATTAACTTAAATCACCTTCATCATTCATCATCCTCACTGATCCCGGTATCCCTCCTAACTTCACTCACCGTTGCCTTCCTCTCTGTGTGCATGGTTTCACTGCAGCTGATCTACAATCTTTATCACTGAATGATTCAATCAAATAACTGATTAATTAACCACACGAATAATCATGGGACCATTCAAACATGTACAGTGTGACATAAATCCATTAAAAAATCTAAGTATGTTATTGTACTAAAGTTCTTATTATATATTCATATTATTGTGTTTGAAGTACTATATAGAAATGTTTAAGTCAAAATGCAAATGATTCTTTAAAATGTCCTGTTAAAAAAAACTAATACTGTGCCTGTTGGAATATGGCATGTTGTATGCAGATTGCTAGTTATTAAAACCTATAGCTTACACGCAATGCAAAATCTGATTTTGATCAACATCCGGTTTATAAATCCAGAGTTGGAATTTTCTGCAAAATAATAATGAATATTCTATTTCAATCCAACCAGGAGAGCAAGATGAGTCGGTGTGCAAGACTTACCTGACGCAGATCAAAGACCTCCGCCTCAGGCTGGAGGGATGTGAGAACAGAACAGTGACACGCCTCCGCCAGCCTGTGGACAAGGAGCCTCTGAAAGCCTGCGCCATGAAGACTGCAGAGCAAATGGTAAGAAACTCAGTTTAAAAACATGAACACAAAGTCAAGAAGGAAAGGGAATGACCTAAATAACCTAAAGAGTTCCTACTAGAATCAGAATATCTGTATTGCCATAACACTAGGTACAATGGAATTCCCTAACCCTTCTCTCAATGCAGTGAAAGTATGTGAACAAATAAATAAAAGCAGTTATCAAACCAGTAGTAGCAGCAAAGAGAAGGCCCTACTTAGATCTAATTAACTGTAAATATACATATTAACAACATTTATAAATCTACAAAATGTACATATATGTTAATAAATAGATGTTAAAATAGATAAACAAGAAATCTGTGTTTATATGAATGTGTGCTTGCAGTCTTTGAAGGGTGGAGGTGTTTTTTTAGCATTGTAGTGCTTCATTTACTTAGTTACTATGTTTAAAACTCTTGTAATATCTCGTAACACATCCCAACTAAACCAAAAAAAACGATAATACATGCAAACATATAGCTTTAATAATGGGTCACTAAACCATCTGCCTTTTTCTCAATGACAGAAAGTCCAGTCCGAGCTGGAGGGCTTAAAGAAAGACTTGAACTCCATCTCTGAGAAGACGGAGGAGGTTCTGGCTTCTCCACAGCAGACTAGCTCCGCCCCCATGCTGCGCTCCGAGCTGGACGTCACGCTGAGGAAGATGGACCATGTCTACGGCCTCTCCTCCGTCTACCTGGACAAGTGAGGCTTTGTGACTCCTAGCACATCCTGGTTATTTCACAGCTGGATTTGTGCCTTTTTATTAATGTGTTATGTATTAATGTGTTATTTTATTAATGTGAACACATCTTGATTACAGGCTGAAGACCATTGACGTGGTGATCAGGAACACTAAAGAAGCAGAAGACGCGCTGAAGACTTACGAGAGTCGTCTGCTTGATGTTAACAAAGTTCCAGAGAATGAGAAGGAGGTGGAGGAGCAGCGTAGTCAGCTGAAGGTATGTTTCTTTTCATAAAGACAGTCATTTTAAATATTGAATTGTATAATCTTGATGATAACTTGTTCTTTTTGCGTCACAGTCAATGCGTGCCGAAGTAGAGGCCGACCAGGTTATATTCGACCGCCTGCAGGACGAGCTGAGGAAAGCGTCGACCATCAACGACAAGATGACGAGGATCCACAGCGAGCGCGACGCCGAGCTGGAGCATTACCGTCAGCTGGTCAGCAGCCTGCTGGAGCGCTGGCAGGTCGTGTTCGCTCAGATGGACATGAGGCAGCGGGAGCTCAACCTCCTCGGGCGCCACATGAACTCCTACAACGTGAGCTACGAGTGGCTCATCCACTGGCTGGGAGAGGCCAGAAAGAGGCAGGAGAAGATCCAGGCTGTGCCCATCGGAGGCAGCAAGGCTCTCAGGGAGCAGCTGGCAGAGGAGAAGGTATTGTTAAGAACATGTGTGTGGGATAGGGAGCCAGAGTCAGTATGCCCTCTGGTGGTCACACTCATGGGACACATTTAACCATGTCTTGAATTCCTATGAAACTCTGGATTTTTATTGTTTTACTGGTTTTTTTCTATATTTCTTATTAGGTCTTAGCTATATTTTGTTGCATTTTAAAGGAGTCTGAGAATTAGCGGTTGTGGATATGACTAAGAGAATATAGAATCTAAAAATAGAGTACTGAAGTCTCATAATGATTAGAGTAGTAGCTATGTTTTTTCTTCTTTCTTCATAATTTTTTTTGAATGCGCTGTTATTTCAATAACAACATGTTTTTAATATTTGAGTGTTGTCTGGTTATAATGGTTTCATTTATTTTTCCAGACTCTCCTGGAAGAGATTGAGAAAAACAAGGACAAGATTGACAGTTGCCAGAAAAATGCAAAGGCTTACATCGATTCAGTCAAGGTGTGTACTTATATTTCCAGCTTTACAACAATAAGGTTTTTTTTATGGTTCAATTAACCTTTTCCTTCTCTTTTTAGGATTATGAGCTCCAGATTTTGACTTACAAAGCCCTCCAGGATCCCATGGCATCTCCTTTAAAGAAACCCAAAATGGACTGTGCTACTGATAACATCATCCAGGAGGTACGTCACACATGAGAAGAGCAAACACCTCAAGTTCAGTTTAGTATGACTGTCTGCTCATAACAAAAAGTATTTAAATGTTATATACATAATCCTGGGAACAAAATGTACTATAAAGAGTGAGACACATTGATATAACATGTGTAAAGTAAATACACTGCATCTTTTCCAGTATGTAACTCTGAGAACCCGCTACAGTGAGCTGATGACTCTCACCAGTCAGTACATTAAGTTCATCACAGAGACGCAGCGCCGCCTGGAGGACGATGAGGTAAACACACACATTAACCCTGTGCAGCAGCAGGTTCCTGTCAAATAACTCTAACACAAACAATGCAACTCCTATCTGTTAACTGAGTGATGTATGGGAAATCATTTGTCATTAAATAATACCAAAATGTGTGCTTAAGAAAATCTCAGAGATTATTTACAGAGCCTTCAGTGGTGAAGCAAACGGTGTCAACACATCATATCCCCCCTACAGTACATGTCGCTCATTCCTCTGTCTATTTAGTCAATTCATGTCACATAGTCTGTACATACGACACATGCTGCATCAGTTACATTTTACACTGCTTGATTACGTCTTTGCTTCTTTATTTCCTCTTGAAATCACACACACTTGTGATTTCTGTTTGGCTACCTGCCTTCTTAGATATGTTTTTTTCTTCCTTAGCTTTTACTTTGTTCCCCCTTTTTTTCATTTTCTAACTTTCTATTGTATTTGATCCCTTTGATCTGCTTGCCAGTGCTTTGTCATGATGAGTATTAATCGCACGCTTAAGAGATGAATTTACCCCCAAAGCACCAGGTATTTCAAAACATAAAAAAAGACCCTTTCTGTTCATGTCATCCATCTCTTCATCAGGCTCTTTTGTATAGTCAAAGGAAGGTTCAGGGCATTTAGGAGACCTTTCATAATTGTAAGATATAATTGTTTCTCTGATCAATTGGCATCAGGTTCCTGTAAGCATGATCTGCCTTACTAGTGTAGATGTCAACGTTTCATCGAAATGTGCAAGCCAGTTTATGTAATTATTTTGTCTTCATTTAATTATCTGACAAAAAGGCACTCTTTAAGGACGTGTATTTTTTATCAATACTGTTAGGGGCTGCAAATCATGATTAATTAAATTAATCTTTTAGTATATTAAATCAAAACTTATGAAATTATTCAAATCACAATTTGCAGTTACATCTTAAATATGTTGTTTTATTTGTCAAAAAGTTAAAAATAAAATCAGAAATTGCAATTGGAAAATGTTTTTCACTGTTCTGCTTTTAAAAGAAATATATTAAGATAACTAACAATTAATTTGAGTTAAGTAACAACTATTTTTCTTATCGACAGAATGACCACTTGTTTTATCTTCAACCTCAGATTTCAAAAATCAAACCTATCGAGGATGTTGATGCAAATATACCAGCAATAACCATCCTGAACCAGATGAATTATTGATCATTATGAAAGATTTCTAAAGTGTTGGACCTTCTGATTTGTACACAATGCAATGCCCACTTCTAAAGAGTAGAACTCATGTCTTGATGTTATCTGTTGTCAGAGTTAAATGTACCCTGATCTTGGATTAATGTCTGGTCACTTTCATTTTAATCCAAGCTTTCTTTGTGTTACATCAAATCATGCTGTGTTTGCTGCATCACTATATGCTATTCTTCCTTATTTCCTGCTTATATCCTTAATGATTTTTCAATCAGCTGCTTTAAACCAGTTAAACCCCACGGCCCCGCGGGCTGGGGAAAAACGCAACACCTTACAAGAAACAGCATCTGAGGGCTTCTTAATATTTAACAAACTATGAATGTGTCATACCCACTTAACGAGAACAAACTCAGCTTTCAGACAATATCAACCATTTTTAGCTAAACGAAACAAAAGGGTAATAACAAAGGCTCTGAAATGCTAACGCACTTAGCACAGAACTCAAGGTAAAATACCCTTATTACTTATCGGATCTGCATAAACAAGATATCGATTAGCAAACTGAGATTCCACAGATTCATCACTGAGCGATCAGAACTCGCGGCGAAACGACAACAAACAACAACAACAAAATGTGCTTTACGGAGCCAAAACGGCTAAAAACGTCTTACCTTTGTTGTTTTCTGATCAAAAGTTGTGTTCAATGGCATTAAAACGAGAAAACCGCTACTGAAGGTTAATCCATAGGTCAATCCAATGTGTCTGTGTCACTTTGAAATGGTTACTGATAATCCATCATTCCATTTGTATGTCAATAATGGAGATTTCATATTAGCTGCTACAATAGCTAGAGTGTATGACAGCTTCCGGGGCATTCTGGCTACGCAGCACTCATTCACCAATGGGTAATGTTTGGATGGATTTTAGGAACTTCCCCTCGATTCTATTGGCTCTAACGGTTAAAAAGAGGTGTCAATCATCAAAATGGACCGAGGGGGGCCAGAGATATGGAAAATGCACCCAAATGACCCCAGAAGTGTTTTTTTTCTAAATCTCTCTAAAAAGGTCAAATGTCACTTGTTTTGCATCAATCTTGATACAGGGTACTTATTATATGTTATAGTTTGGATTCCTAAAGCTTTTAGTCTACTATCCCATCATTCAAGGGTGGTTTTCACTATAAGTAATGATTTTCTTTTTGGACAGACACTATAATTTACATTTTCTTACCCTTTCTCTTTTCCTCCGTACCCAAATCTTTTAAAAACGGGGGTACAACGAACGGACACAGATTTGCTGCCGATATGACGTCAAATCGGCGGCAGACCCACAGAAAATTGCTATCAGAAACAATGCCTGACGTGTTTTGGACGTAATCTCGTCTTTGTTTACATTAGCAAGCCTCGCTAACACTCAGAGCTAACCTGTACTGTGTAGAGCACATGTGTTTTTAAAAAGCAGGAAATAAAAAAAGGAACTCACCTTGTGATAAACCCGCAAGAGAAAAAGCATTTGAGCTCCATACTGTTTCAAAAATAATCCTTGATATGGTTTAGAACAGGATGGCGTTTCATCACAGCAGAATTTAACTTTATCTCCGGTAGAATTCTGATCAGGCATTAGCTCCGCCTCCTCTTTTTTTTTTTTTTTTTCAAGCTAAGGACCGAAAATCCGCGTTTTTCTAACAGGGCTTCAAAAGAGAGGTATGAGCAGTATGAGGCATGGCTACAATGGGTGATCTGTTTGGTATTTTAAGCAAAAAACTTCACAGACATGTTTTGTATATGTATGGCCCTACAATATATGTTTTTCCAATATAGCATAATAGGTCCACTTTAAAATAAAAACATTCTATATTGATTCTGACTTTTCTACATCCAACTCACAGGTTTATCATTGCTTTGAGAAAAAAGATTATTAATTTACCCCTTTTAGAAGTAAAGATATAGTCAATTGTTCTGGGAATGTCATTTTCGAGCCTGAGGCCTGAAAAACAGGCTCAGGACTCAACTGGTTAATTTAAGAATGTAAAGATTAAGGAAACACAAATACATGTATAACCCTAAGTATCAAATAGTGACTGAATTATACAAGACTGTTCCTTTAGAAACCCAAATATTAAACATTTTATAGCAGCAACACATTCCGCACATTTTAACAAAACTTGTACTGAGTATGAAATCATTACGATTACATTCACCTAATTATATATTGCTCAAAAAAAGTCTTTACATCACTGTATATATAAATATTGCCAGGTTTTATTGTAGCTTATATTAAACAAAAAATAAATTGAAATACCTCAACTGCATGAAAGCAAAGTGAAGTGCTGTGCTGTAAAGTCAAGTGTCGTTCTGTGTGCCACACATTAAAATAACCTGACAATCATTTCCCAATACAGTATTTAAAAAATGTAACTGTAATATATTCATGTATTTACATATTCATGTACCTACATGTTTTATTAATATTGAAATGTCATTTTGAAGTCTAACACCTAACATTTTCTCAATTTCCTTTACTCCCTTTTTGCTTCTACTAATACAGAAAGCTTCTGAAAAACTAAAAGAACAGGAGAGGAAAAAGATGGCAGAGATACAAGCCGAGTTAGATAAACAGAAACAGTTAGCTGAAGCTCAAGCTAAGTCTGTGATTAAAGCAGAACAAGAAGCCCAGGAGCTGAAGTTGAAGATGAAAGAAGAAGCCAGCAAGAGGCAAGATGTTGCCGTGGACGCTGAGCAACAGAAGCAAAACATACAGCACGAGCTGCATCATCTGAAGAGTCTGTCAGAGCAGGAGATCAAGTCCAAGAGTCAGCAGCTTGAGTATGCGCTGGTCAGTCATACCAAAATCGAGGAGGAGATCCACACAATTCGCATCCAGCTAGAGATGACAATAAAACAGAAGAAAACTGCTGAGTCGGAGCTACAGCAGCTCAGAGACAAGGCAGCTGAGGCGGAGAAGCTCAGGAAAGCTGCTCAGGAGGACGCAGAAAGGCTCCGCAAGCAGGTGGCCGAAGAAACTCAGAAAAAGAAAAATGCAGAAGACGAGCTGAAACGTAAATCTGAGGCAGAAAAAGAGGCCGCCAAGCAGAAGCAGAAGGCGTTGGATGACCTGCAGAAATTCAAAATGCAAGCCGAGGAGGCAGAGAGACGCATGAAACAGGCTGAGGAGGAGAAACTGAGGCAGATCAAGGTAGTAGAGGAAGTGGCACAAAAGAGTGCTGCTACACAGCTGCAAACCCATTCCATGTCATTCAACGTGAAGGCAACCAAACTGGAGGAATCCCTCAAGAAAGAGCAAGGCACGGTCCTCCAGCTGCAGGAGGAAGCTGAACAACTCAGGAAACAACAAGAGGAAGCTAAGAAAGCCAGGGAGCAGGCAGAGAAAGAGCTTGAAACATGGAGACAGAAAGCCAATGAGGCTCTCCGCTTGAGGCTGCAGGCCGAAGAGGAAGCCCAAAAGAAGAGCAAGACTCAAGAGGAGGCAGAGAGGCAGAAAGTCGAAGCAGAGCGGGATGCCAAAAAAAGGGCTAAAGCTGAAGATGCTGCTTTGAAACAGAAGGATAATGCAGAGAAAGAGTTGGAGAAACAAAGGACATTTTCAGAACAAGTAGCCCAGCAAAAGCTCTCTGCAGAACAGGAGTGCATTCGACTGAAGGCTGACTTTGACCATGCCGAACAACAGAGGGGTCTGTTGGATAATGAGCTCCAGCGTCTGAAAAAGGAGGTGAGTGCCGCCGAAAGGCAGAGAAAAGTACTGGAAGAAGAGCTGGCTAAAGTCAGAAGTGAAATGGATTCTCTTCTGAAGATGAAAACTGAAACTGAAAAGAAGACGATGTCCAACACAGAAAAGAGTAAGCAGCTTCTTGAGTCTGAAGTTTTGAAAATGAAACAACTTGCTGATGAAGCGACCAGGCTGAGATCAGTCGCTGAAGAGGCGAAGAAGCAGAGGCAGACTGCTGAGGAAGAGGCAGCCCGGCAGAGAGCGGAGGCTGAGAACATCCTCAAAGAAAAGCTGGCTGCCATTAACGAGGCAACTCGCCTGAGGACTGAGGCGGAGATCGCTCTGAAAGCTAAAGAAGCAGAAAACGAACGACTGAAAAGAAAAGCCGAGGACGAAGCTTATCAGAGGAAGCTGCTGGAAGATCAAGCCGCTCAGCATAAACATGACATACAAGAGAAAATCATTCACCTAAAGAGCTCCTCTGATTCTGAGCTGGTGAGGCAGAAAAGTATCGTGGAAGAAACTCTGAGGCAAAAGAAGATTGTTGAAGAAGAAATTCACATCATCAGGATCAACTTTGAGAAAGCATCCAAAGGAAAGTCTGATTTGGAGAATGAGTTAAAGAAGCTGAAGGTTATTGCTGAGGAGACACAGAAGAGCAAACTCAAAGCGGAAGCAGAGGCCGAGAAACTTAAAAAGCTTGCTGCAGAGGAAAAGAAGAAGAGGAAGGAATCTGAGGAGAAGGTGAAGAGGATTACTGCAGCGGAGGAAGAGGCGGCTCGACAATGCAAAGCCGCCCAGGAGGAAGTTGCACGCCTCGAAAAAAAAGCTGATGAAGCAAATAAACAAAAAGAAAAGGCTGAAAAGGAGGCAGAGAAGCAGGTTATTGTGGCCAAAGAGGCAGCGCAGAAATGCACTTCTGCAGAGCAAAAGGCCCAAGAGGTTCTCAGCAAGAACAAGGAAGATAGCCTTGCTCAGCAAAAGATGAAAGAGGAGTTTGAAAATGCTAAGCAACTTGCCCAAGCAGCTGAGAAAGCTAAAGAGAAAGCAGAGAGAGAGGCTGCCTTGCTCCGACAAAAAGCTGCAGAGGCTGAGAAGCAGAAGAAACGTGCAGAGGAGGAAGCTGCGAAACAGGCCAAAGCTCAAAGAGATGCAGAAAGACTGAAGAAAGCAGCAGAGGAGGAGGCATCCAAGCGAGCAGCAGCTGAGGCAGAAGCTCTGAAGCAGAAAAAGCAGGCAGATGCAGAAATGGCCAAGCACAAAAAAGAAGCGGAACAAGCTCTTAAGCTGAAGTCTCAGGTTGAGAAGGAACTAACAATGGTTAAACTCAGACTGGATGAGACTGATAAGCAAAAAGCTCTGTTGGATGAGGAGCTTCAGCGAGTCAAAGGGGAAGTGAATGATGCCGTCAAGCAGAAGGCACAGGTGGAGGAGGAACTGGCCAAAGTTAGAATCCAGATGGATGAGCTTCTTAAACTTAAGCTCAAGATTGAGGAACAAAATCGAAGCCTCATGAAGAAAGACAAAGATAAAACACAGAAAGTACTTGCGGAGGAAGCAGGGAAGATGAAGAGCCTGGCAGAAGAGGCTGCCAGACTAAGTGTGGAAGCTGAGGAAACAGCCAGACAGAGACAGATTGCAGAGTCCAACTTGGCTGAACAACGGGCACTTGCAGAAAAAATGCTTAAGGAGAAAATGCAGGCAATCCAAGAGGCAACCAAACTGAAAGCGGAGGCACAGGAGCTCCAGAAGCAGAAAGATCAGGCACAGGAAAAGGCTAGAAAACTATTAGAGGACAAACAGCAGATCCAGCAGCGCCTTGATAAGGAGACGGAGGGCTTCCAAAAGTCATTAGAGGCTGAGCGGAAGAGGCAGCTTGAGGTCTCAGCTGAGGCAGACACACTGAAACTGAAGGTGAAAGAGCTCAGTGACGCTCAGTCAAAAGCTGAAACCGAGGCGAAGAAATTCAAGAAACAAGCAGATGAAGCAAAAGCGCGCCTTAAAGACACTGAAAAACAAAGCACAGAAACCGTTGTGCAGAAGCTGGAGACACAGAGGCTGCAGAGCACCAGAGAGGCTGATGGATTGAAGGAAGCCATCGCTGACCTTGAGAAAGAGAGGGAGAAACTGAAAAAAGAGGCGGAGGAGCTACAGAACAAATCAAACGAGGTATTTCTTCATGAAATAAAACAGATAGTCAACCGACACACCCCTTAGAGTCATATCAGACACACTACGGTATGTGTGGAAGCAAATGTAACATTTCATGTAAATGGCAGAGACTTAAAGTAACATCCAGCAATTGATATGAATGTCATACAAAACACAATACTACAGAGTTAAAATGGTCACTAGGGAAAACATTGAAGAACTTTTTGGGAAATACTTTTATTCCCTTTCTTGCAGCGGGTTAGATGAAAACATGATATCTCTCATATCTGTACGCTAATTATGAAACTACTGTGAGGAGACGTTAGCTTAGCATAACGGGGAGACGACAATCCTGGCTCTGACAAGTTCAAAGATAGCAAGATATCGGATGTTGTTATCACAGTTTCTTACTTTGGACAGAGCCAGGCTAGGAATATGTTCAGCCTCTATGCTAAGCAACCGCTAACTGTTACTTCAGATAGCATGCAGACACCCCAAAGGGATCTTTCAATCTAATGCTTATTTAAAAAATGTTGAACTATTACTTTAAATATTGCTTAGTTACATGCAATTATTGTTATTTGCTTTTTGCTTTGACAAATAACTGATTTGTTTCTTCTTCTTTCCAAATAGATGGCGAACACCCAAAAAGAACAAATAGAGCAACAGAAGGCCATTATACAGCAGTCCTTCATCACAGAGAGAGAACTGTTGTTGAAAAGAGAAAAGGCTGTTGAAGATGAGAAAAAGAAACTCCAGAAACAGTTTGAGGATGAAGTGAAGAAGGCCAAAGCTCTCAAAGATGAACAAGAACGTCAGAAAAAGCTAATGGAAGAGGAGAAAAAGAAACTACAGGCCATTATGGATGCGGCGGTTAAAAAACAAAAGGAGGCTGAGGCAGACATGAAAAACAAGCAGACAGAAATGGAAGTGCTTGAAAAGAAAAGGCTTGATCAAGAAAAACAGCTGGGAGCAGAAAACCAAAAGCTCAGGGAGAAACTTCAGTGTCTTGAGGGTGCCTCCAAACAAAGTGCAACCAAACAGGTTGCCTCCAAAACGATTGAAGTGCAGACTGATGTGGTCCCTGAAGAGCAGTTAGTTACCATGACCATGGTGGGAACAACGAAGACAGTCTTCAATGGCTCTGTTGAAGTGGACGGAGCGAAGAAAGTTGCAGAATCACCGTTTGCGTTTGATGGAATAAGAGAGAAGGTTCCTGCTGAAAGGCTTCATGACATTGGCATCCTAACCAAAAAGGAATTGGACAAATTGAAAAAGGGCAAAGTCTCAGTGCAAGACCTCGCAAAGACCGATAAAGTAAAATCTTGCCTTCAGGGTCAGAGCTGTGTGGGAGGTATCTTGACTCCATCCAAAGAGAGAATTAGTGTCTATCAGGCTTTGAAAGAGAACAAGATCACTCCAAACACTGCCACAATGCTTCTGGAAGCTCAAGCTGCTTCCGGGTACATTGTAGATCCAGTGAAAAATAAACTTCTCTCTGTGGATGAGGCAGTTAAATCCGAGTTAATTGGCCCCGAGCTGCATGACAGGATGCTCTCTGCAGAGCGAGCAGCCACTGGCTTCAAAGATCCATATACTGGAGACAAAATCTCTCTCTTTGAGGCCATGAAGATGGGCCTTATTGAAAAAGAGCCGGCCACAAAATTCCTTGATGTGCAGCTTGCAACTGGTGGCATTGTTGACCCGATCAATAGCCATAGAGTGCAACTGCAGACTGCATACAAGCAGGGTCAGTTTGATGCTGACATGAACAAGAAACTCACTGATCCTAGTGATGATTGCAAATTATTCATTGACCCAAGCACTCAGGAGCCACTCTCCTACAAACAGTTGCTTGAGAAATGCACAAAGGATGCAGAGACGGGACTGCTGATATTACCAGTAACAGAGAAAGCCACTCAGAGTGAGAGAACATACACAGATCTGGAGACTAAACAAGTGTTCAGCACATCAAACGTCATTGTGCCTTTTGGAAGGTTTAAAGGCAAAACTGTCACCATTTGGGAAGTCATCAATTCTGAATATTTCACCGAAGAGCAAAGAAGAGATTTGATTCGCCAGTACAAGACAGGCAAGATCACGGTAGAGAAAATATTTAAAATTGTCATCACTGTTGTGGAAGACAAGGAGAAGGAAAGTAAAAATGTGTTCATGGGTTTGAGGGCACCAGTGTCTGCCAGTGAGCTGTTAGAGTCTAAAATTATCAACAAAGACTTGTTTAACAAGTTGAGTAACGGCAAAACAACAGTGAAAGAGATCTCTGAGATGGAGCCTGTGAAAAAGGCTCTTCAAGGAACACCCAGCATTGGTGGACTTTTGAATGAACCAACAAAGGAGAAAATGCCATTTTATCAAGCTATGAAGAAAGAATTACTGTCACCAGAAACGGTGGCGAACCTTCTTGAAGCTCAAGCAGCGACTGGTTTTGTAATTGATCCCATCAAAAATGAGAGGGTGACTGTTGATGAAGCTGTTAAGTCGGGTCTTGTGGGCCCCGAGCTTCATGAGCGTCTTCTGTCTGCAGAGAGAGCCGTCAGTGGCTACAAAGATCCATATACAGGAAAGAAGGTGTCTCTGTTTGAAGCCATGAACAAAGGCCTCATAAAGAAAGACCATGGCATGCGTTTGCTTGAGGCACAATTGTCAACAGGCGGAATTATTGACCCTATTAACAGCTATCGCATCCCTCATGACCTTGCCTGCAAGCGTGGATATTTTGACGAGGAAATCGGTAAGACATTGAACAAAAACACTGATGACACAAAAGTGTTTTATGATCCTAACTCGCAAGAGGATTCAACCTATGCTCAGCTTATGGATACATGTGTCACAGACAAAGAAACTGGACTCCCATTGCTTCATCTTTCAAAGAAAGCTGCTAAGCCAAAAGAAGAAAAACAGATTACAGAGGCTAAGACAGAAGAGGCTTTGAACCATTCGACTATGGAACTGGACTATGGCCCTTTCAAAGGAAGAAAAGTCACAATATGGGAGATAATACACTCTGAATACATCACTGAGGTGCAAAGATTAGAGCTGATACGCCAGTACAGAACGGGGCAAGTTACAATTGAAAGGTTGTTAACGATTGTGATAACAATTGTTGAGGAAAAAGGAGACAAAACAAAGGAAGAGGCTTGTTTTGAAGGCCTAAGAGCACCAGTCACTGCTAGCTCCTTGCTTGATTCCAACATCATCGACAAGGCTACATTTGACCAAATCCTACAGGGTAAAAAGACACCCAAAGAAATAAGTGAAACTGATAAGGTACGGAAGTACTTGCAGGGCACAGACCGTGTTGACGGTATCACCATGGAAGATTCAAATGACAAGCTAAGCATATATCAAGCCATGAAGAAGAATGTTTTGCAGCAAGAAACTGGGCTTGCACTACTGGAGGCCCAAGCTGGAACTGGTTTCATAACTGATCCGGTCAAAAATCAAAAATACTCTGTGGACGATGCTGTGAAGGTTGGAGTTGTTGGCCCAGAGCTTCATGAGAAACTTCTCGCCGCTGAAAAAGCAGTGACTGGATACAAAGACCCGTACACAGGCAGTAAGATTTCTCTATTCCAAGCCATGAAGAAAGAGCTTGTCCTGAGGGAGCATGCCATTCCTCTCCTGGAGGCTCAGTTTAGTACGGGAGGTATCATTGATCCAGTGAGCAGCCATCGTGTTCCCAATGATGTGGCCATTCAACGTGGCTATTGCAGTAAACAAATGTCCAAGTCCTTCAATGAACCCTCCGGTGATGTTAAAGGCTTCACTAATCCCAACACCAATGAAAGTGTTACTTACAAGCAGTTGGTTGAGAAATGCGCAAGAGATGCCACCTCTGGTCTGTGCTACCTGCCTCTGTCAAAGGTTGAAGCTCCTGCTCCTGTTGAGAAATGTTATCAGTACACAGAGGAGCAAGCCCAGACAGATCTAGCCAACACTCAAATTGAGATCCCTCATAAGAGTTTTGCAGGAAAGACCATGAGCATTTGGGAAGTAATGAACTCAAATATGCTTCCAGAAGAAGAGAGACTGCGCCTCATGGAGCAATATCGCTCTGGGCAAATCACAAAGGAAAGAATGCTAATCATCATAATTGAAATTGTTGAACAGAGGGAGACTCTGAAGTCAGAGCAGGGCATGTCATGTGATGTAATCAGAAGAAGAATAACTATTGAGGAGCTATACAGTGCTCGAATTATTGACTTGCAAACGTATAATCTCTTAAAACAAGAAAAGATGAGTATTCGTGAGGTAATGGAAATGCCATCAGTCAAACAATACCTCTTTGGTACTGGTTGTATTGCCGGAATCTTGTCAGTCAATCCACCAAAGATCAGCATTTACCAGGCTATGAAGAATGGAAAGATTAAGCCTGAAGTTGCCTTGACTCTCCTCGAGGCACAAGCAGCAACAGGATTCATGATTGATCCAGTAAAAGATGAACTCCTTACAGTTGATGAAGCTGTACGCAAGGGGCTTGTGGGCCCTGAACTTCATGACAAGCTTCTTTCTGCTGAAAGAGCAGTTACAGGTTACAAGGATCCATACACCGGGAAAGTGATTTCTCTCTTCCAGGCAATGAAAAAAGACCTTGTTCCTGAGGATTATGCCTTGAGGGTTTTGGAGGCCCAGAATGCCACTGGTGGATTCATTGATCCTGAATACTACTTCCGCCTCCCCACCGATGTTGCCATGCAGCGTGGATACATCAACAAAGAGACACTTGACAGAATATCTGAACCTACTGAAGATGTGCTTGGTTACATTGATCCAACAACAGATGAAAAACAGTCCTACGCCCAGCTACTGAAAAGATGCAGAGTTGATAAAGAAAGTAATTTGCGACTGCTTTCACTGGCAGATAGAAACCTCCTCTTCAAGGGTCTCAGGAAGCAAATCACTGTACTCCAGCTGCTTCGTTCACAGATAATCACCCAAAAGACATACGACGAACTCACTGAGGGTCTTATTTCAGTAGAGGAAGTCAGCAGAGATGTGAAAAAATACCTGGAGGGCACCAGCTGTATTGCTGGTGTGTATGTAGAATCTAGCAAAGACCGTCTGTCTATCTACCAGGCAATGAAAAAGAACATGATCAGACCAGGGACTGCCTTTGAGCTCCTTGAGGCTCAAGCCGCCACAGGATACGTTATTGATCCTATCAAGAACCTGAAACTAAATGTCACTGAAGCTGTTAAGATGAGTGTTGTCGGCCCAGAGTTTAAAGATAAACTCCTCTCAGCTGAACGAGCAGTCACAGGCTATAAGGACCCTTATTCTGGCAAGATCATCTCATTATTCCAGGCCATGAAAAAGGGCCTCATTCTGAAAGACCATGGCATTCGTCTGCTAGAGGCTCAAATTGCTACTGGTGGAATCATTGATCCACAGGAGAGCCATCGCTTGCCAGTTGAAGCAGCATATGAACGTGGCCTCTTTGATGAGGAAATGAATGAAATCCTCACTGACCCCTCTGATGACACAAAGGGCTTCTTTGACCCCAACACTGAGGAAAATCTCACCTACCTGCAGCTGATGGAGAGATGTATGACAGACCCAGGAACAGGCCTTAGTCTTCTGCTTCTGAAAGAGAAGAAGCGCGAGAGAAAGACATCATCCAAGTCTTCTGTGCGCAAGCGTAGGGTCGTCATCGTCGATCCAGAGACGGGCAAAGAGATGTCTGTGTCTGAGGCATACCAGAAAGGGCTCATTGACCACCAGACCTATATGGAGCTCGCAGAGCAGGAGTGCGAGTGGGAGGAAATTACCATCACCTCATCTGATGGAGTTGTGAAGTCCATGATCATTGACAGAAGGTCTGGGCGGCAGTATGACATTGATGATGCACTCTCAAGAGGACTGATTGACAAGTCAGCTCTGGATCAATACCGTGCAGGAACGCTGTCCATCACAGAGTTTGCAGACATGCTTTCTGGAAACACGAGCGGCAGCAGATCACGTACATCCTCCTTTGGCTCCTCTTCCTCTTACCCCATGAGCCCAATACCTTCTATAAATGTCCCAGCAACCACATGGAACGACCCTACTGAAGAAACTGGCCCTGTGGCTGGAATCTTAGACACAGAAACCCTGGAAAAGGTATCCATCACAGAGGCCATACACAGAAACCTGGTGGACAATATAACAGGTCAAAGGCTGCTGGAGGCTCAGGCATGCACAGGAGGTATTATCGACCCAAATACTGGAGAGAAATTCACTGTTGCAGATGCAATGAACAAAGGGCTTGTGGATAAAGTCATGGTGGACCGCATCAGTCTAGCCCAGAAGGCGTGCAATGGATTTGAGGATCCCAGAACCAAAGCCAAAATGTCAGCAGCCCAAGCTCTAAAGAAAGGCTGGCTGTACTATGAGGCCGGACAGCGATTCCTTGAGGTCCAATATCTCACTGGTGGTCTAATTGAACCAGATGCTACTAGCAGAGTGTCCATAGATGAGGCAGTGAAGAAAGGCTCCTTAGATGCACGCACTGCACAGAAGTTACGAGATGTTAGCGCATACTCAAAATACCTTACATGCCCTAAAACCAAGCTTAAGATCTCCTACAAGGATGCTATGGAAAGAAGCATGGTAGAGGAAGGGACAGGCCTGCGATTACTTGAAGCCTCATCCCAATCCAGCAAAGGCCTTTACAGTCCTTATAGCGTCAGCGGCTCAGGCTCCGCCTCTGGGTCACGTTCTGGCTCAAGAACTGGCTCCAGGTCAGGCTCCAGAAGAGGCAGCATTGATGCCACAGGTTCAACAACTACTTTCTCTTCCACTGCCTATAGTTCGCCAAGCTATGGCCGCCGATACTGATGGGTAAAGGAATGATTTCCAAGGGAAGGATACACTATAAAGCCACATTGCTCACCAGATACTTCTCAGTAGAGTAAAGACTACCATTATTCTGCTCTGCATGTGGTTGTTACATGACTTTTAATATTTCATTTTCTACAAGTTAAATATTTCTTTATTGTATTTGTCACATTTACTTTAACATATGTGTATGGTCAGACTTTCTAATTACTGTACTGTAAGCAGCATATGCAACAGCTGTTTTTTTCAAAAGTGCATATAATATTCTTTTGGTTTATAATACCATAAGCATTTACTGTTCCACAAACAAGATTCTATTTACGATATTGTACTTGGTGCACTATAACTAAAACTGTTCATTACCATTAGCCTGACTGTTAAGGAGAACCAATTGGGTTTTAAAAGATATATTGTACATGTGTATATTTCTGCAAAAACAAATGTTAGTTAAAGAAAGATAAATGACCCCCTGCAGAGCAGAATAAGGATTCTCCCCAAGATGAAAAACACTAGAAGTGTCTGCTTTAAGAATGCCAAGCTTCAAGATCTTTTTCTGGACTAAACTGCTGCCTCATATACTCTTCCAATATACTCCATTCCCAGTTGTCTGTCATATAACCTGGAGTAACAGCAACATCCTAACCTTACAAAATGAACCTCCAAAGAGCAATCTACCATAAATGGAAGAATCATGTATCCTATTATAACACAATCCGACAGATCCAACCTCAAGACCAACACAAACAAGTCCCTGCCTTTCTGAGCACTTTAAAAGGGTAGGTTTCTTTGTCATATCTGATTTTAGTGTGATTTCTTTGTATGTTATATTTAGTGCCCATAACGTTGTTGTTCAATGTTTTTTTTTTTCTGTTCCAGATTTTGTCTTCACAGTTCAGTTTGTCTCTAGCTCCTTCTTCAGATGTCTTCCAGAGACCTGTGGCATCCACTTGGACTGTGAAATTCACTGTCATCAAGGATTGTATGCAACATCACAGAAAAACACTCGCTCATATGAAGATCCTCAGATTCATTTAACTGTTGACCATTTTGAAACTTGCATCCAAACTCATTTAAAGGCCTAAACCATGTAAGTGCCTGCGAAATACTCTAAAACTCTCTAATGTGATGTTGAGTATTGTAAACATGGTGCAGTGGTTACATTGGCTAATGCATGTCTGAGAGAGCAATGCTACCCATAATGGAATGATTACTGTATTATCAGGTAAGCCTTTTACAATCAAGTCCACTGCAGTTTCTTTCAGCGTCATAAATATAGTCGTCACACAGGGCTTAAATATATGGTTTGAATGTTTAATAGCTAAGATTTAGAATATTTGAATAATGTTTCCCTACATAGACGATGTCAAATATGTACTGTACATTGATCATTATCTCGTGCACTTGCTAAAAGCCATGAATAAACATTTCTTTGAGAAAGATCTTTAAGCTTCGCCACCAGACCCAGTATTTGTATTTTCCACACAATATACTTGTTTTGATTTAAATCTCCTTTGAAAGCAACACACGTGATCTATATCATTTTATTTTATTACGCAATATTTCTGCTTTGCATGATTTTACTAACATTTAAAAAGGTGCAAAAACAAAATAGTTATATCCATTTATGCATTTGTTTTATTATTACGTTTCAAAAGGTTTGAAGGATGTATTTTAATGATGGTTGTCAAGCCTTGTTGAAAAGGGTGTATTTATAATAAAATGGTGACAAATAATGTTATTGTAACACCTTACGCTATGTAAATAAAGATGGAAATGAAAGGTTTTTTCTCAAGTTTATTCATTTTCAATGAAATCTGATGACAATAGATAATAGTATGGTTATTTCAGATAATAGATGAATAGAATCAACACCTATACTTGAGGCTCCTGCATGTTTCCTTGCATTATTTCACTGTCTAAAAAGAAGCTACCTTAAAGTTTATTTTGCCATTCTGTATATGGCAGCAGAATATCAGAGAATGAATATCTGTAAACAAATGAAGTATTTAGATACAGTATGTCACTCATGTAAAGGTCATTATTAAAACTTAAAAATCCTCCATTACAAGTAGTAATATTAGTAAAAGTACGGACGTATTACCAGACAAATGTACTCAAATTATTTAAAGAACTTATTGGGTATAATATCCCTTGGCAGTGTGTTTATGTTATATATAATAATAATTGCTCTTGCAGAAGTTCAATGTATTTACTGCACTGAATTTCAACATACCTACAGAGTGTGCTCAGGGACAGCACATGTTGTGTTCATTTATGTCACAAAATGTGTTACATGCCCCTAACACACAATGTGCACATTTTACACATTGTGTGTCATAAATGCGTAACCAAGATGAACACACTCATTTGTTATTTCTGCACATTTTGTGTTATATTTCTTTAACCAGAATGAACATTTGATTGTGTTATATCTGCACATTGTGTGTCAATGACGATTACTGGAAGTAGCAGGTGGTGGATATGGTTTTTATTCAAAAAATCAAATACAAGAATACATTCATTGGACATTTATTTACAAGGATTTCATTAGCACAATATTTCATTAAGAAAATAATTTTTAACATTTAAAAACATTAATATTTTTCTAATTCATCAAATCTTGACAGACTAGATAAAACATAAAATCACACCTAAAAAAACCTTATACCTTGGTTAAAACAAACTTAATCTTCAGCAAACTATTGTTGCATAAACATAACCGTCATATCAAGCAGATATGTTATTAAATATTAATATTACATATACAGTACTGAGTTTTATTATGGAAATACCAAAACATTTGAAGTCTTTGACATTGCAATGTGTTTCCATCCAGCTGTTATCATACAAATATTTAATTTGCACAATATTTCATTAAGAAAGTCATTTAAACATGAGAATTTTAAAACAGATCAGTTTATGAAAGCCCACCTAAAAAAATCTTATACCTCGGATTCAGATAAAGCTTGTCAGTGCCAAAATCCGAAAGTAGATCAAGAGGTGTAACATCAGCAACATCGCCTAATGTTATCATTTCAAAGTCTTCAGTTTCTTGCATAACGTATGCAAAGAAATGATCATCAAAGTATTGAACTTGCAGTATTCTAAAGAGAGTGAAATGCCTCACAGTGGGGTATAAGTTGAATCATTTCCCCAAAGAAGTGCTCCCCTTGATGCTGTGCTTTAAGGGGCAGTGGTATGTCCTTGGGAAGCCAAGTTAGTAAATCCCATTCCTTCTGACAATGCATGGATTTCACGAAGATGCCAGATACGTTTTTTTATCTGTGTGAATTGTGAAGGGCATTTTGGACAAGTATACATATTGTTTTGATTTAATTAACAGACTTTAATTTAGAGATGAGTTCCAAAACCTTTGCTCTCCGGTTTGTTGACATTGGTAGGCCGTAGAAGAATGAGAACACAGAGCTGAGTGGGGTTGGGTAGGCCAGGTTGCATACCCAGTAAAGCTTGAACAGCTTGTCCACAGCACATCCCAGGCCTTCATCCAAAGGAATGGCAATCTTGTCAGACTTTGCCACAATGACGTACTACTGTGACCCTCCCCTTTGATGTCCAATGCAGACAAGATGTGGCTGTATGGTCTGTCCTGGATCCTGGGGTGCATCGAAGAGGGAATCTATAGAACTCCCTGCCTAGAAATATTGAAATATTAGAATTAGTGATTTCATTCAGTTCATCAAAAGCAACTCCTAAACTAGTTAATTATAACCAAGTATGTGCATGTTGTTTTATATTGACCTACTGACTAAAAATCACATATTTTAACATTAAACTAAACATACCGGTACAAATTCCATGAGTTTTGTAATTGCAGACTTCACGCTACAGCGTGTTGCAGCAACAGGTGGGAGAAGATGAGTTAGTACAACAGCATGGTGTAGCAGTTCTCATCTGCAAATGAGAATCAGGGTTGGGGGATTGGGGAAGAGTAAAGTAATCATTAGCATATTAAATCATTTTCTCCATTTTTTTTATAAATTCAACAAAACATTTGTAAAGGCCCTGCATACCCTCAGTTTGGTTTTCCATCCCTTCGATCAGAGCTGTAACATCGCCATTCCCCTTGGCAGCTAAGCCTTCAGCTTCGGCATGATGCTGGCCGTATGAACAGGTCCCCCTTACCATCAAAGATTTTCTCCAACTCTGTATCAAACTGGGTGGTGGAAAGACGGAGACAGTTGATACAGATAAAGATATAATGACATTATTAAAATGACAAGACCAGTATTTGAATCTAACATTTGTTAAACGATCAGATAATAAACTTGATAATTGTATGAGAATGGGTCATTGTGTGTACGGCACAGCTGTGATCACCAATGCACAAATGCATAAAGATGCTAAAAAAGCCTACCAGGGTTGGTATATCCAAGAATCGTGGATACTCTTGGAAGATTTGGTTAATGGAGGGTGAATGTTTGGATATCCAGCTTCTGCGCGATGTGAATGTTTTCTGCATTGCTGACTTGATAGATGAAATGTTTTCTGCAGAAGGCCTCAGCTTTTTCATCAGGTTGATACATTCTTTGATGTCACTATCGTCCCCTTCGTCCTGCACAGAACTTGGTCCAACATCTCTGCTTCTCTTGTGTCTCCTGTAACGCCGCTGAACTTCCTCCAGCTTACGCCGCATACTGCGAAGTCTCATCTCCAAAAACCCAGAATGTGAAGCTGGGTCATAGAGATGCTCCTGAAATTAAAGAGGGGAAAAAATAACATATCAAATGAAAGTTGATTTCATAACGAAGTGGTGAAAAATTTAAGAGGATATGACGAAGCAATATACATTTTATTTTTGACCAACCAGCTGCTTATGTTCAGAAGTGAAATCTAGAACACACTAGTCATTGTTAATCACTGTAAGTTCAGGAGAGGTATATGTAAATACGAATATTACCAATAGGCAGCCTTTACATTCATTACAATTACAGTATATATTAGTCTACTCATCAAGTTATTTGAATGAACACTCATCATTCTTATTAGACAAAGTAGATGTTGGCCCTAGCCTGTACTTTCACAACGTCATTGAGACAAAACTGCTGTTTTCACACTAAAAACCATTAAATCAGAAATGTCAATATTTTTTTGATATTTTAGAAAAAAGCGTTATACTCACTAAGCCTTCTCCATAGCCACCGACTTGGACTTTCAGCTGAGGGAATATAGTGATGAGATTCTTCACAAGCACCACCTTTTCAGTGTTGGATGGATAACTAAGGATAAAAATGAATGACAAGTGAGCTATTTTTTTTTAAAAGAATACAAAAAGTTCTAGCATACAAATATTACAAATGCGTGATGATAAAGCAATTGGTTATAAAGAATGTCCTTTGTATCAAACAAATAAAAAAACAAATGTGCCATATTTTTATAACCAATATATCACTTAAATGCAAAAATTATACATAAACACATTTCACATTCATATGCTTACAACGCATGCTTCTCCACCAAGTCAGAGATGCAAACTTTGACAAGTTTGACAAGCGTGACGCTGCGTCTCAACTGCCGTAGCGACAAGAGGCATATGAAATCTCCCTTCTACACAATATAATATTTGCAAGTATAGAGTAGTAGCTGATGTTTTTAGTCAGAAACAGGTCAACTGTAGTGTACACTTACTACTAATAAATAACTGTAGTACCGAGTTACTTATCTGCACCGTAAGAGACTGTATATCAACGCAGCCTCTGTCGGTCTTCTCACTCTCACGCCACATCTGGCCGAACAATGAAACCTAGCCAAAGTAGCTAGATAGCATTACACACATAGCTGCTAATGCTATCAATATAATGCAGATTGAAGAATGATGGTCACAGAAAAGAGTGTAAGCTAAATTAAGATAAACATAAATATAATAAAAAAAGAAGAAGATGGGCCTAAAGGAAAATAATTGTCATCCAGGCAGCTAAACTCAAACAATATTTAGCTGTTCATCATTGGCAAAACATATTTATTTAAGTTTAAAAATATTTATTTAGACCCCTAGCTTGCTCACATTATGACAATATATCTGCTCACTTTGTTAAAAACGTTTTGTTTCTGTAATAACTTGTGTTAGACTCTCCTCCGCTGACATCCATCCTCCACCAGCCAGAGGTGAAAAGGGTAAAGGGCAGTTTGGATATTTGATGGACAGTTGGACAGTTGAAAAATGATACATTTGAAATAACTCAACCGTGATTGGGCAGGACAGTGGACACACTAATGTGTTGACTATGTGCATTTTTATTTTACACATGTGTGTGTAAAATGCTTCAGAAATGACACTGAATGTGTTGAATTGCCTTTGACACAGCAGTGTGTTTAGCTTTTATTATATCAAAAAATTAATTCTTACTAGTAAGAATGCAAATTATTGATATAAAAAATGCAATTCTCACTAGTAATAATGTTTATTTCTGATATAAAAATTGAATTTTAACTAGTTGGAATGCACATTTTTTATATCAAAAATGTAATTCTTACTAGTTATAATTACATTTTTATTTATAGTTACAATTGAATTGTTGAAATTGTATTTCTGATATCAACAATTGGCATTTCGACCAGTTCAAATCGTATTTCTGATATCAGAAATACAATACATATCCTAGTTACAATTGAATTTTTGATATCAAGAATTTGCATTCTTACTACTAAGAATAGATTTTTTGATATCCTCCAGAAATGAATAAAAGCTAAATCGGCTTGCCATAGTAAACTAATAAGGCTCGTGGTCTCTCGTGAAAATGATACATTTAATCAGAGTTCACACTGGGTCATGATTTGAACCCCCTCAGCCTTCATACTTGGAGAAGGCAGTTTACTACGCAGTCGGTGAACATTTAATTTAAGACGCAATTTAGAGCATTATTGTTATCAAGCAACAGGCAACATGTCCTTATCTAAAGAGCACCTGCCGGTGGCCTCTACCGCCGGCCGACAGCCGAAATGCACCCGGTGCCGACACCATGGGATCATCGTCCCGCAGAAAGGCCATGTGAAGTCCTGTCCTTTCGTCACATGTGCGTGCTGGATGTGCTACCTCATCACACAGAGGACCAGGATCACCGCCGTCAAGAGAAATCTGAAGAAAGTCCCGAATAAAGAGCAGCCACCCAGTGCGGTGAAACGGCAGGCTGAGGGGACTTTTACCAACTCGGCCCCGGAAGGAGGCATATACGGACTGTGTCCCCCGTCAGACGGGGCCCCGGAGCGAGCCGCCAGCACCGCCTGGAGCCCTTATGACCCACGGAGCAGACCCGCCGCGGCGGGAGGGGAGGAGGTGTCCGGTGTGGACAGCGAGAAGGTGCTGTCCTTCGCTTCCAGTGCAGAAGGACCATGTCCACCTTTTGGTAAGTCTTTTTTCATCACTTGATTTGTGTTTAAAATGTGTATTGAAACAACTTCAAGTTAGCTACACTGAGCTGATACTGTAAAAAGAATACATTTTATTTATCAAGCCCTTTATCATGTGCTCAAAGACGCTTTACAGAGGTGAACAAAAAGACAAGTTAACATCGAGCAATAAAACCACATGTATTAGGACCATATACAGTCTATGATTAGGACAAGGCATCAATCACAAATTAAACAATGCAAGATACATATTGAATAGAACAGCAGAAGAGACCAACTTCTTAAAATAACAACAAAACAATGAATAATGTTTCACTTCTTAGACCAACAAAACAAATGTTTAAAAATAAATAAAATGGCTGACCGTACTTTAAAGCAAATGTTATGTTGCCTATGATATCATGATGCATGATACAACAATATATTTTTTACGGCCATGAATGGAACACTGCAGATTCCTGGGCAAGTTATGCAGCTGCAGTGTCACGCGCGCGCACACACATAAATGTTGCAAGAGAGTGGCGCGAAAAACGAGGGATAGTTTGCTGAAAAAAGTATCTCTATTTCTGCTTTTTTAAATCACTAATAACCTATAAGTTAAAACCATATTTAAATACTCTAATTTAATGTAATGGAAATGGAATAACATAGCACAGAACAGTAAAGTGACAACACATCAAATTGATATAATTTATAAACAAAATAGTTCACATTAACATAAGAGAATAGTAGCTTCATTAAAAAAACATAAATTAAATCCAAAAATGAATCTGCAGCTAAGATCAATAAATGTATAGTTGAATTTGTGTTGGGGTCTCCCGTGACCCTTTTCAAGTGAAAATGATATAATAACTTTAGTTTTTTGTATCGGAACAAGGCTTCATCCAGACCTCTCAGGTCTTCAGGGACTGGTCAGCTTTCTGTCCCCAGAGTCAGAACTAAACATGGTAAAGCAGCGTTCAGTTATTATGCTCCAAATATCTGGAACAAACTCCCAGAAACCTGCAGGTCCGCTACAACTCTGACTACTTTTAAATCCAGGCTGAAGACTTTTCTTTTTGCCGCTGCTTTTAATTGAACTATTCATATCTTAGACTGCACTGTAACTTTTATCCATGTACTTTTTCTTTTAATGTTTAATTTATTAACTTTTCTTTTTAATGACTGATTTTAAATGCCATTTTCTTAATGTCTTTCATTTTTTGTAAAGCACTTTGAATTGCCTTGTGTTGAAAGGGGCTATATAAATAAACTTGCCTTGCCTTCATGATATCTTCAACAACAGCTATATAAACAGTATACAACTGATTTGGACAATTTTAGCCAAGTCTGAAGGTCTCTAAAAAAAAGGGTATCATTTGCAGCATTGTTGTGGGTGACTCAGGGTCAACTTTGGCCCAATCAAGATTCATCTTTGACTTTAGACACCCCTCCCCCCACCCCTTCACCACTGTAACAATAGTTTTTTCGCAACATGCACCTGGTCTCCCCCCTCTGGCCCCCCACGGGAACTTGACCTTTCTCAAAGAATATGTAACACAAACACTTCGTTGAAACCTGAACTCACACATGCACATAAGCACTCAAACAACGCACACACACACACACACACACACACACACACACACACACACAACACACACACACACACACACACACACACACACACACACACACTTCATCTTTCGTGGCATGAACAACATTGTCCAACAAAAGCTTGTTTTTTTCTAGCATGAATCTATATGGGTCCATTTGTAACACCACAGAAGTTACTATAGTTAATCATATAAAGTTGTAAAAACCTTTTTTTGGGAAATTGTATTAGTCTATAGTCAGATAACATAATGATCCACTGTCTTCAGTAATATAATTAATTAATTTAATCAAATGTGTTACTTAAATATGTAATGTGTTTTGGGGCCATCAAATCAAAGGACTACAGGATTGTGCGGTTATGAATGCAGAATAAGTTAGTTATTAGTGATATTGGATGATAGTCATTCCTTTTGAGTGTTTTGGACTGAGATAAATCATGGGACAGAATTGACCCGCGAACACCATGAATGGTGACAGCTTTCGAACACAACACAAGGGTTAAGAAAAGCGCCAAGCATGATTTAAAGGCAAATCTTTGACTTTAACTCTATAGCAACACATTTATAAATGATGTCATGCATCATGCATTCCTGTATATTAAACTACCCTGCAATATATGACCTTAAAATGAGCACAACTTTAACACATACAGCAGTAAAACGTACATGTAGCATATATAATAATTCAGCAACTACACCAAAGATGCTGTTTTGATAAGACTCACAGGTCTTTATTGGTTTTGTGGAATGGATAGGCTTACTTTTGATACTTAGATGTATACTTTTTATTTAGCTGACAATACTTGCGCACGATTTAACCTATGGGTTTAACCAAGGTTTTCAATGCATATCTTTGACTTATTGTTTTTTCAGTTTGGTATTTGCTATTTCCTCAAGTAAAGTCTACTTCTAACATTTAAGTCAGTATTCTTTCCAGGTTTCAGCCCTAGTTACGTTATTGTTTATGATGATTTACCATTTTAGATAGATTGATGCCTGAAATATAATATGGTGTATAAACTACCTCACACTAAAACACCAATCTAAAATAATAAAATGAATCTTTAGAGAAAACATGTAATATTACATAAACCCTTACCTTTTCTCAGATGGTCCTTACTTCGGTGAGTTTGGTCAGACTCTGCCTATGAGCCACTTCCCCTTCAGGATGCCCGCTCCTTTCCCCGGCCGATATGCTCCATATCCAAACCTCCTGTTCAACACGCCCTGGCTGCCCCCCATGCCTGCTGGGCTTTACAACGATGGCATGCAGGGATCCCCCCTGATGTACCCCTACCTCCCTCCGGGCGCTGTGCACTACCCCCCTCCAGCAGAGCCGGCTGCTGTAAGTGGCTGTTTATCTTCCAATACTGTAGTGAAATAAACTGCTTTTAAAAAGCACTGAAAATAAATGTTCTTGTTTAATATGTCAGGATTGCAGACAGGTCTTCTTCCCCCTTCAACCGCTGCCAGAGACCCTCCAGGAGGGGCTGATGTCGAGGCAGCCCCCACAGCCTCCTCTGTCCAAACACACGGAGCAGGACGCTATAGCACACACAGAGAGATAAAAGGTGGTCTATTTTTATAAGTATCAAGGATTTTCCTCATTGGTTAGCAACAGTCCTGTTCAGATTGCTGGCATGAATGGCACACTGTTGGTTGTGATATATTCATATTTAAACGTGCCATTGTTGAAAAATACTGATGAAAGCTCAAAATAAGTCACCCTATTTTGTATTGCTTATTTTATAATAAAGTAAAGGGCATTTAAAGTTGGTCGGGTTACATTTTTTCACATCATTTTGTCCTACTTTTTTCCATGCAAGACAGCAAGGACTTGGATCCTAATGCAGTCCAATGTTGAGATGCCCCTTCAACATATCCAGCGACAAATGACTTATCCTCAGCTAAAATGTAGTCACATTTAAAAGTAATATAAACACTGTTTTCTATTATTGTCCAGGTCTGAAATATTATGAGTTGACTCTCCTCACATTAAGACATTAAGGGATTTGGTTTTACAGTGACCTATCATTTAATGTGTCATATTTTCTTTACCAAAACAGGTAACATACTAATAACATGATAGTCTCTATTAAGAACCTAGTGCTAATATATGGGTGTCTGAGGTTGGATGATCCTATGATAGCCAATAGATGCGTTGGAGTTACTTAGTGATGTCACTATGTTACGGAAGTAAACAAACTCCCTCTTGAGGGAACACAGGGATTTGAGCCTTTGCAGACCATTTTCATGTACCAACATCTCTATAACACACTACAGGAAAGCACGATAAGGCCCCTTAACATGAATGAATTCAAATGCAGGCATCATGTCAAAATCTCCTTTATTAATTCAATATGCTGTCAACAAATTATGTGAGAAGCAAAACAACAATAATATAGAGTGTAGTCCCTCTTTAATCTGCAAATGTATGTTGTCAAATTGAAGTGGCGCTGTTAAAATAAAACATTTCCTTCTTTACTGTATGCATTAAAGGTAGCAGAAACAGAATATACTCAAGTGTGAATCCCTCACATTCTTCTAGGTAGAGCAATATTTCATTGTTCCATCAGCTCCCCGCCTTCTGTGGGAAACACTTGAACATTTCTCAGAGGTGACGGCTGTTGTGAAAGGACTGAGGTTGGCTCAGGTTATGCAGTTTGTGTTTAATTACATATAATGCATTAAAGCTCGGTTTCTAATGGAACTATTATAAAATGACCTTTAAGATACACGTCTTAACAGAAACATCTCAATTAAAGTTTGTGAGTAATAAACATATCAGCTTTCCGTGAGAGTCTCCACCCTGCTACGCCTTGACTGTTGGTTTCTATGGTTTTTGGCATGAAAAAGCACGTGTGAAATAGAGATTTGTCTGCCAAGCGGTTTAGCATTGTGGTGCATTGTTGTGGAAAAGGTAGTGATTATTATAATGAGCAGGTTCCATGGAACCTGACAAGATTTGCATAATCTCTTGTGAACACTAGTGTGTTTGTTTTAGAACACACCTGATATGTCACATCCAATTTCACTTCTTGACATCAACCCATGCATAAAATATGTAAACGCTTTCATTTTCACCGCTGATGCTCGGGTTCAAATTCCACATTTCTATGGCCGCTTTAATGTTGCCGGTCTGAGAGCTTCAGCCTCGACTTCACATCATGCTGACCAGAGAGGAAAAGCTTCTGCAGGGTGTTAGAGATGAACACCTCCAGTTCTCTTAATACTCCGTGAAAATAAGCAATCTCAAGACATATAGTAAAATAATACAATATCAATGGTACCTTCCCTTAGTTTGGTAAATATAATGAATGCATTTACAAGTTGTCAAATGTAATCATTTTGTTCATTTTCGCAGATCGAATCTAAATATTAAAAAATAATGTTTTTCATTTCGTAAGTTGATCATACAGATCCAAAACACGCATCACTGCACAGGTGTGATGTATCATAATGTGTACATATGTACATAGATTACCAATATTATACATGAACATTTTTATTTTTACTTTCAATAACTAACTATTACTCTACTATTAGCAAGAAAGAGAGTAAGCGTAATAATGATGTGTTCACGAGCATCCAGAAGTATCTTATTGTAATGTGTGGTATTGTCCACCAGGGGGGCAGTCCTCTTTAGTTCCTCTCCCAGATCTTTCAGGCGTGCAGTCTGCCTGACAGCAGAGCAAAAGAAAAGAAACACGAGGAGTCTATCATCATATCACCACTATTAAAGCTGTAAGTAAAACATTAGAAAGCCCTGAAAAGTTAATACATTTACTCAAGTACTGTACTTTATTGTAGTTGTAGGTTCTGGTGCTGTACTTTTCAATTCATGCTACCCTATACTTTTCTCAATCAAATCTATTTAACAGCTTTAGTAAATAGAATTAGGTTAAGATTTGACATAAACAAAATGAGAAAAGCCTTTTAGATACAATAGATTGTTGTTCAGCTTCCTTATCTTTTAGTTTTGTTGCAGTACTAAACTCCTCCAACTGCTGTATTCAATGTCTGAGGCTCTGCAAGGTAATCCCATAGACTGTCTATTTAAAGGGTACAACTCAAACACACAAAAGATTAAACACTGATGTATAGCAGTACTTTTCTCCGTACCCATTTCGTTTATAAAACCCCTCAGAAGAATCGGGTGGCCCTTCGGAGGGGACCCGACCCCCAGCTTGGCGACCACTAAAACTACCAAATACTATTATATAAAGTCATTACAGGTGCAACAGTACGATGCTGCTACATTGATGCTTCAGGATTAACAATGTAATGATAAATATCTATGTATTTGTCACTGGGCCAGGTACTTCTACATTTACTTACTGCAGTGTGCTGCTTCATAACTGAAGCTTGTCACTGAAGTGTTACAGCCTAATGAAAGATTCCAGGACGAAGGACAGGGCACATCGCAGCCCACTGGCATGGCTGCTGGGGCTGTCATCTGAATGATTCATGTTGGGATCATAGTGGAAATGCCAGGAGATGAGATATTATTATTTGATTAAAAAAAATTATTGTCATTAGTAGTTTTAAATATGTATTATAAGCTGCATGAAGGTAGAAAGTTAAACAGTTCATAATTCCCTCTCTAGTTTCTATTTCATATTGCCTTGAAACATCTAAATGAATTGTTTTATAAAGCCACCTTTTACAAAATTGCATTTCTTACATCTTGATGACATAACATTGTTTTGTTTGCCCAATACACCGTTTTACTAAACACAACTTGAATGCATTATAATGTAACTTATTGTAACCTCTCTCGTGTCATTGAGCTCTGGTAATTAGCCAAATGGGAATGTTGACAGCTGGCTGCTAACTGCTAACAGCTAGCCGCTATAAGCTAACGTTAACTAGCTCAACTCCTGCTGTTTCAACGGGTCTTTTAAAAAAATTAAATGTAGCATTATTATCACCAAATGTTTTTCCCCTGTCAGAATCAGAATCAGAAACAGGTTTTTTGCCAAGTAGGTTAAGAGGAGCTTGTCTTGGTGTTTTTGTTGCATACATAAACATACATGCATACAAATAAAACAATGATAAAAAAAGTATTTCAAGAAAACTATAATGATATTAAAATATAGAAAAAGTTACATTGAATATGGATGGAACATAGCATAAGTTAAGTGGCCTTAACAATATGTTTTAAGATGAATAAGTGTATGTTACATTTGATGTGTAAATTGAGATGCAAGTAGAGTATGTTTTAAATGTATTATTTATTTATTTTTCTATTATTGATGCATTGCCAAAGACTTCATAAGCACATTTATTATTTTATCAATGCCAAAGCTTGTAGTGTTATTTACTTTTTGTTGAAAATAACAACACGAGTTGGACTGGCCACACATTTTCAGCTAAAATCAAATGACTTCTCCTACTGCTAAAGATGTTTGTTAGCTGTGTTCATATCTGAATGTTAAGAAAAACAAATGTAATTGTAAACAGATGGTGCCACTTGTGCGTCACCTTTACTTTAATCTAATCCATGTAATTTAGTAGTAACAGCCACAAACTCATCAGATTTTGAATCATGTTGCCATTCTGACTGAAAAATATGGCATCTGCATGATTCAAGTAGAAGTTAAAAGCAAGTCACAGACCCACCTGCACTCGATTTGTATGTCTGCAGTTTGTGTGATGTCAGAGAGGCACCAGTTCAGCTGGTTGTGTAACAGTAACACACATGGAGCTGTTTGTGATTATACAGAAGCATGACTACTGAAATACTTCTGCACTTACTCTAAGTGCAGAAGTATTACAGCAGTCATGCACCACTTGTTTGCACATCTGGACAAAGATGAGAACTCATATCAATCATCACAGACTAAATACACACAGAGTAAGTCAACATTGGAGTTCGTATGAAAGTACGCCAGCAAAACAAGTTCCAACACTGTATCATCATCACCCTCATTCAGCCGTATACTGCAGAAGGATCTTTCATCACATAATGTGTCAAGGGTCATGAATTCTGACTTTTGAAATTCTTACCTCCTTAGTGAAAAATCAAAACAAGCTACAGCAAATGCCTAGCTTTTACACATGGCCTTACAATCCCCCACCTCCAACATAAAGAGGTTTGTGTCATATAATATGTCAGATAATGTATGACACAGGTTGTAGGGTTGGGTATCGTTTGCATTTTCACGATTCTGATTCCGATTCTACTTTTCGATTCCGGTTCTTAACGGTTCTCAATTCCGATTCTTTGAGGGGCAGGGTAAAAAAATGATACATGCTTCTTCCACCAAAAAAAATTACATTTATTCGAGAAACTTTTACACAGGTTAGTTTACAGTAATATTCACATTAATCAGTCTGTTTATATTCACTGCTATGTAACTGTAACCTGAGAACCACTGAAGCTACAACAGTGCAACTTTTAAAGAACAGTTCTTGTTGAGAAAAACAAGCATATCTGCCTTCTCAGGCATACCGGGAAGAAATGTTTGAACATTTTAAAGTAAAATGCTTCAATCTGGTGCACTTTAAGCAGAATTACTAGAGACTAGATCTAGGGGGTACAACTCTAAACACCCATATGAAAAAGATCGGTTTACATTTTAATAATTAAATAAGTATGTGAACATAACCAATAACCTACCATAGCCAATAACAAATACATGTAACATATTTTATTTTTGTTGTTCATTCATATCTTATTTTACTATTTTATTTATGCATATTTTGTATCTCTCCAGTTTAAAACGATATGTCTGGTTTACTGTC